TAAATATTTATGGTGCTAAGTGTGCGTGCATACACCCATGAAGTGTTTAGTAATGTCAGTTCTCTGCAACAAGCCCAAGTCCAGTTTACCGACGGGTGGGTCACTGGCTCCGGCGGATGTGGAACAACTGGCTGTTGTTTTGATCTGGCTCTCCGTCTAAACTGGTCAAATCTGGTGGTGGTCATCGCTTTCACCTCGATATGACCCATGTGGAGGGACGGAGCCCAGTCCGGATCGCATTCCAGCATGCTGTAGGCCGGTTTGCCTGCATACGACACAAATAGTAGCCCGCAAAGCTAATGTAAACAAAGCATTCCAGCAAAACAAATGGGCCAGCAGAGGCCTTATTTGTGACCCGTATCTACAAATTCGCTATGATAAATCACTTCACTGCAATACATAAACTTACCTTTATGGAAATGTCTAAAGCAGAGCAACATGTGACCTGGGGTGTCCTCGAACGTTAAGCTAGGTCTTCTGATAGTAGCAATCCACGCCATCCGTTGCCTCTTAGCAGCTTCAGACACTTCGCTGGAACAACCTCTCTCCCACGCAGGAATCTAAAAAAAAAAAACGTGTACCTTTGGCTATTAGCCCTCCCTGGTGTTCATGCGACCTAGTATGGCAATCAGTAGCACAACAAGCTCTGACCATGTTTGGGGACAACTGTCCGAAAAAAAAAATAGAATGGAATGAGCGCGCTCAGTGGTTTGAGGGGGGAGGGCTGTCCCTCATAACTACAATCCTTTGCGGTTTGAAGCCGGAAATGACGACACGTTTTCAATCTCAATTGCAGAATTTTCTTACTTTAATGTGCAACCTGCAGACAGCTGCCATTTAGTTCATCGGCCACTTTTCATGCCAACATAATTTCTATCCTTTGACGATATTTCAAGTAGGGCTGCAACTAACTATTATTTTCATAATCGATTAATCTGTCGATTATTTTTTCTATTAATCAATTAATGGGTTTGTTATTGTTTAGCTATTTAACCTATACAATTGATGAATACATTTCAGTTAAGAAAAAGAGAAACATAAGAGAATTGTGCAGTTGACTGCAATCTATTTTATTGCACATGAACACAGTCAGCGGTGTAAAATGAGCTAAACAGTGCAAAATATCAGTCCAGAATAATTTTTGGCATCAAAATATAAGAGGTAAATTCCATAAAAAATAATGTAGAATCTAGAATAGAGTTTGTAAGTGGTATGCATTGCTGGGGGGTGAGTGTCTTGTTCCCCATGCAGTTGTCCATCGTTGCTTGTTTTTTTCTGCATAAGAAACACAAATAGACTGAAATAAGTACACATATAAAATAAAGCAGCACACACACTACAACACTAAATCAATATTACATTATTTGAATTAATTAACAATATACAGTGATCATTTAATTTGACAAAAATGTGTTGTGAGGCGTTTTACAGCGTTAGACAGTAAAACAGCCTTTTAATAATAAAAAAAATGACTTTCTGAAATTCTCCTGTATTTAAAAATTGAAAGCGTACAACTATGCCGCGTTATATTCACCTGGACACAGCTCGTCTGTATATTTTTCTCCGCAGAGTTGTCCTTTTTTGAATGAGGAACATAGTTATGGGTTTGTGCCGTTTTTCTCTTAACGAGAACATTCTTTTAAACAGACGTGCTAAATTTGGCAAGCGCATGATACACAACACGGAGATTCACGATTGCATCTAGTCAATCAGAAGTAGAACACCGTAGACTGGCGCGGCAAAAAAAAACATGTTTAACATCCACTATAACGAACTCAGCTAAAACACTAAGTCCCAAATTTGATCTGCGTGTAGTCATGGACCACTATATTTAGCTTGTTTATTTTCTGTTACTTACCGGATTCACCGGACTTTCCTCTGCTGCATCAGCCCCCACATGTTTTCGTCTCAAATGTTCACTTAGGGACGTCGTGCTTCCGTGCCATGCTAGATGGTTTTTTACATATTTTGCAGGTCACCCGTCTTTTCATGACATCTAGAGTGAAGTGCTCCCATACTCGTGAGGTTTTTGTCCGGGGTTTCTCTTCAGTTTTGTCGCTTCTATTTTTCTTCCGTATTTCTTCTTGTTCCGCCATCTCTCACAGCAAGATGAGCGTCAGTAACGTGTTACGTCGTGAAAACCGAGGGCACTTATTGGCTCATTTCTTCTTCTACGGCTCCACTGGTAGATCAGTGGCTCAGTACTGCCACACACTGGTGGCAAATTTAACAGATTGTAACCGATGTCAGATTGTGGTAAAAAATAGACTTTATGCGGTAAAATGTGATTATTAAACAACTAATCGATCACTAAAAAAGTTGTTAACTATTTTAATAATCGATTATAATCGATTAAATCGATTAGTTGTTTCAGCTCTAATTTCAAGATTCAGAGACTTGAGGAAGACGTGTTTCTCTTTTGTTATTGTCACTAGGTCTGGGCTTTGAGGCTCCATGTGCCCTCCAGGAGAGAAGTTTGATGCCTTGTATGACTATTTGGACCTTTGCATAGTTGAACCCTGGTGTGGTATGTGTGCTGCTGTTCAGCCAAAGGACCAGTGGCTTAATAACAACCTTTAAACAAATCTCTGTAAACAGACACCTGTGTATTCTGGGAAGAAATGATCTCATCCCAACAGAGAGGGTGGAAGGTGTTTATTAGTTTTCTTGTTATATAACTGTAATTACTATGAGATCTATTAAATCCTAAATGTGACTTTGAACTCTTCCAGCCCAGGTTATGAAGATCAGACTTAAAGCTGTTGGTGATATCAGACTTTTATCAAACGTCTGTTCCTGGAGGGATGATCAGACGTGTTGCTGATTTATGTTTGATCTCGCTTCTGGTGCTTTAACTTCTACTCTGCCAGGTTAAGACAACTTACCCACCCTGACTTAACCACTGAGACGTACCACTAGTGGTGAAGGGAGGGGGTAACAGAAACAACTGACTGCACATGAGGTGTTGTCCCCAGAATCCAACCCCCCACTCCTGTCTGGAAATGGACACTGTTGGCGGTATTTATAGCTCCAGACCACAAGCAAGCTCTCTTTTTAAACGGGGAAGAAACTGGTCAAAATCAGCCGGGTGTATTCTAGACACTTACTGTGTCTGTAAAACACATTTGCTCGGGCCCATCAGGTAAGAGGAAAGACAGACTGTGTTTTGTTTTTCTTTTAATTATCTGGAGTTTTTTATTCATTGCAGGCAGCGATGTGTAACATAGGTGTGGTATTTTGCTTAATAGCTTGAGAAATGATGGCTTCTCTGGTAATTACTGAGAAAATGGTTAGTAGTTTATCCAGAACTAAGAAAACAAATGCCATACGTGTGTTTTTGGTAATATTTTAAATGTATACATGTATATTATTTTGACATCTTATTATTCTTTAGTGTTTTAAAAGCTATAAAAATGCTGACACTAGTCATTTAACTTAATAATAATAATAATAATAATGCATTGAACTTATAGAGCGCTTTTCTAGACCCCCAAAGACGCTTTCACACACTCTCACATTCACACGCTGCTAGTGATGGTAAGCTACTTGTAGCCACAGCCGCCCTGGGGAGGTCTGACAGAGGCGAGGCTGCCATTTGGCGCCGTCGGCCCCTCTGACCACCACTAACACAGGCAAGTTGGGTGAAGTGTCTTGCCCAAGGACACAACGGCAGGATACCCCTGGCGGGAGCTGGAATCGAACCCATGACCCTCCGATCATGAGGAAACCCGCTCTACCACCTGAGCCACTGCTTGAAGAAGAGTCTGTAAAATATGAAAAATGTAGTTACACATTATTTCCTCCTTTTTGGATCAAGTTAATATTTCTAAAGTCTAATTGAAACTGGTGACAAAAGGTCAACAACTACTTTTGCATTTTTATGGAGGATGGATCAAACTATTACTGTTTTTAATGGTTACTGTAGTAAAAATTCTTACAGTCATTATTTTTAAACTTATTTACTTTCATTCAGTTCTATAGGGAGCCTAAAGTTTCCCTTTCCGGTCGGCTCATGGGTCCCTGGGAGAACGAAAAAATGAATGCAAGTCAACGGGGCTAAAAACGCCATTTTCTAATCCGCTTTGCCTTACGCCCTGGATCGCACACATGTTGTGCTGCAATTTAAATGAAAAGTAATGATGGGTCTTTCGACCATGCCAGTCATGTACTTTGAGATTTATTAGCTTGTAAAAGTTCATAATTAGCACAACTACACACCAGAAATCGGCACGTCGCATATGTGACGTCACCACATAATCTCCTCTCCCCTAGCGTAGCTGCTACTAACCACATGACCAGATTCATGGTGGTTCTTTCCTCCTGTGGGAAGTTTGCTGAACCATTTTCCATCAGTTTTCTCCGTGTCTGGTTCGATGACGCCACTTTCGTGAAGCGCATTTGTAGTCTTGGACTTATTTTCACACACAACCTAAAACATCGTTCCCCCATTCAAAAATAAGCTCGTTCTTGGTATCAAAATGTGTCTTTGTCTGGGTGTCATTCTCGACAGCTCACTTTCTTTTCAAGCTCACATTAATAACATAATTCGGTCAGCATACTTCCATCTACGTTCCATAAACCGTCTCCGCCCCTCACTGACCCCTCGCACTGCCGCCATTCTCGTCCACAGCCTCGTCACCTCCCGTCTCGACTATTGCAATTCACTTCTTTATGGTCTCCCCAACAAACTCCTTCATAAACTGCAACTGGTCCAGAATTCAGCAGCCCGTATTATCACCAGAACCCCTTCCTTTCACCACATCACCCCGGTTCTCCAGCAGCTTCACTGGCTCCCAGTTAAATTCAGGTCCATCTTCAAAATTCTCCTCCATACCTTCAAAGCAATCCACAACCTCTCTCCTCCATATATCTCAGACCTTATAAGTATTCACACCCCCTCCCGTTCTCTCAGATCTCCTTCTTCCATCCATCTTGCGGTTCCTTCTTCCCGTCTCGCTACCATGGGGAGCAGAGCTTTCAGCCGCTCTGCTCCTCGTCTCTGGAACTCACTTCCCCCAGACATCAGGAACATCGACAGTTTTACCCTTTTCAAAACAAAACTCAAAACACATATGTTTAAATCTGCCTACGACCTCTGATTTTATTGAACTGTTTCTCTCTGTTTTTTTTTTCTTGTTTGGGCTTTATTATTGTTTTATTGTATTTTATTACGTGTTTTCTGTCAAGTGACCTTGGGTGTTCTGAAAGGCGCTTGTAAATAAAATGTATTATTATTATTATTATTTACATTCCCGGACATCATTTGTGAAATCCATGGCACAAAACAAGCAGAATTAGAAAATAGCGTTTTTAGCCCCGTTGACTTGCATTAATTTTTTCCGTCTTCTGGGGACCCATGGTGCGGAAGTAGATGGGCGTGACTTAGGCTCCCTATTCAATGGCCTGGTCGAAATTCATGGTATACTTTTGATGTTTATTATGTATTCAGCATCCTCAAAACTTAAGGCCCTGATGGTTTTCCAGGAAGGAGTTCAAAAGGTAGCCTGAGGTGATGTGTACGCGACACTAAAGTAGTCTGACGATGCTAAAATCAGAATGCAGCCTGTGACCAGGAAAAGCTATGTTTACTGGTGGAAAAGGGCCAGCAGAGGCATTGAGAGAACCCTGATGTCCAAAATTGTGGTATAACTGTTTATTAAATTCTGAGTGTTTGCTTGCTGTGTCACACTTTATGCAACAAATTCTTTTTGTTGTTGCGATTCTTGAAATGAGGCATTTAATCATTTTGACCTAGCATTGGTAATTTTTAACATCCGTCCATCCAGACGTTCCCTTGCCAGCTGAGAAACGTCAAAGAGTAACTAAACCCCAAATAACTTTTTTTGCATATTAACTGTATAATTGGGTCTTTACAAATGCAATCTTTCCGTTTCTGTGCATTTTTGACATGTTTGTGTAAACTTGATTAAATCTAGGATCTAGGTCTAAAAATGTCTTAGTGCTGCCCCCTGTGGCAGAACAGCAGCTATTGCATTTTAAACTTGTGATTGACTGGGGCTGGAACAATTTCCCGTCATCGGTACAGTCTCCTCCCACTCCCCCTCCCTCCCAGGATGGAAATCCCCCACACTTGGCCATGCCACTCTGTGCCTCCTGGCAATGCCCACTTTCATGGCATTTTTCAAATCTTGACCAGGGGTGGAGTTACATTTCCTGATGGTGTGCAGTCCCTCTTTAAAGGCCTTTTCCAACAGCACTACTCGGCGTGACCTTTAACGGTTTGGTACAGTCTGGCTGCTTTTTGTATTTGCCCTCTACTTTTCAGTCCTTGCTCCGTTGTCGTTCCAAGGGCTGATCCGGGCCGACATCACGACTGTCAGCCACTGAGTGGCCAGGGGGCGGAGTCACTGCTTTCTCCAGAGCTTTCTGGCCGCTGCCTGCATCCATTTCCTGGTTCAGGGTCTAACGAAAAGCCACAAAATTGAGCAGAATGTTCAATGTCAATGCCATTTTTGTGCTGAGTTGTGTTTCTGAGTAGCATACAGGTCACCTCACACTGATCCCCTCGTTTTGCCTCAAGTAAAGATTTTGCTCAGCACGCTAAGCTAATGTCTGACTTGGTGTTTTTGTGTTTCTTTCAGATGAAAACTACATTCTGAGCTCAACAACCTGAGACAGAGACTGGCCAGAGATGGAGAAGCCCGTCCTGCAGACGCAGCCGTCCACTTTACCTTTTTTTGACACCGCACATGCCTTCAACCTGCTGCGGGGAATCCATGAACTTCGCGCTGAAAGGAAGTTTTTTGATGTGACTTTGTGTGCTGAAGGCAAAGAGTTTCACTGTCACCGCACGGTGTTGGCGGCTGCCAGCACGTACTTCAGAGCTATGTTTGCAGGGACTTTGAGGGAAAGCGTAATGGACCGGGTGGTTCTACATGAAGTGTCAGCTGAGCTTTTAGGCCTTCTGGTAGACTTCTGCTACACAGGTCGCGTCACTGTCACTCAGGATAATGTGGACGTCCTGCTGAAAACAGCTGATTTGTTTCAGTTTCCTTCGGTGAAAGAGGCCTGCTGTGCTTTTCTGGAGCAGCGGCTCGATGTGTCCAACTGCTTAGAGATCCAGGACTTTGCAGAGGCCTATGCCTGTAGAGAGCTGGCAGCTAGCGCGCGTCGCTTTGTCCTCAAAAATATCATGGAACTGGCTAAAGGGACTGACTTTGAGCGGTTGCCATGGAAGCGCCTTCTTGAGTTTGTGTCAGACAACGACCTGTGCGTGGATAAAGAGGAGACAGTCTATCAGATCGCCGTGCGCTGGGTGAAGGCTGATCTTCAGCGACGGCTACACTACTGGCCTGAGCTCCTTCAGCAGGTCCGACTCCCATTTGTCAGGAGGTTCTTCCTATTGGCCCACGTGGAGAGTGACCCACTTGTCTACCTGTCGCCCACCTGCCTCCGCATGGTGAATGAAGCCCGCAGCTTCCAGTCCTGTGAGTACGATCGCCACGACAGGCCCTGCCACCGCATGCGGCCGCGGCCGTCCACGGGACTGGCTGAGATCCTTGTGGTGGTGGGAGGCTGCGACCAGGACTGTGATGAACTGGTCACAGTGGACTGCTACAACCCTCAGACTGGACAGTGGCGCTACCTGGCTGAATTCCCAGACCACCTTGGAGGAGGTTACAGCATAGCCGCACTCGGGAACGACATGTATGTCACAGGTATGTGTATCTCCTCAGTAGTGTGCAGGTTTCCATTCATCGAAGAAAACCGCTCTCACGGTGAGATTATAAGTGCATTGAGGCTGCTTGGCTCCTGACTGAATAGGCTACAGGGTCTGAATGTCGGCAAATGCGGCAGCACAGTGTGTGCTGCTAGTCAGCTCGGGTGTCATCATTGTCTGGGCAACAGCTGTGTGTGAAAACATTCATTCTCTGGAAACATCTCGTCACATTTTCACTCAGACTTCTGAGGACAGGTCGTTAATCCTGCTGCCTCAGCTCATGGCCTCTGGCGTAATGTTGGCAGGGATGTTTATTTTATAATCTAAATTGGATGGAGATCTGGTGACTGTGGAGGCCATTGGAGATGGGGCTGCATAATACATCGCAAATGTATCGTCATCGCGATATTGGCATGCGCAATACGCGTGTCGCAAAGAACGGGAAAAACACACCGAATGGTCAGCTCAAATGTTTGCCACACATAATGTATTTTGTCAGTCAAACAGAAGCAACATTTCGTAGAAATCAAATTGAGCCCTTCACCCATTTGGCCAATCGGGTCGGTTCTTATAGGTCAGGCGCCTGCCCCCTAGCAAACACCTGAGTTAGCTTTGTTCTGCTTTTCTTGGGATCCACCGATTCCCTTTCTTCACATCTTTTGATCGCAATTTTTTTCTGTTCCCATTTTTTATGATCTTTTAAAGTAAATTTTTATTTAATTGTTTTCCATTTTTTTTGTTCTTGAGTTAAGTATTTGTTTATCACGACTCATATCGTCATCGCCATTTTAATAACGTTATTGCACTTCGCAGGCTTTCCTAATAGCGTGCAGCCCTAATTGGAGAACAGTGAACTCCAGGGCTGCAGCCATCAGGTATTTTAGTCATTGAGTATTTTATTGAGTATTGTATTTAAAATGAGTTTTTGATGTTAATGGCTTCCAGAATTCTCCTCTCTAAAAGTTTGCCATGATTTGCCATCAGTCACTTATCTGGATTAGTGAGAATAAGTGAACAGTGTTCACTATAAACACAGGGGCAGCAGTAGCTCAGGAGGTAGAGCGGGTTGCCTCATGATTGGATGGGCATGATCGGAGGGTCACGGGTTTGATTCCAGCTCCCGCCAGAGGTATTCTGCTGTTGTGTTCTCAGGCAAGATATTTCACCCGACTTGGTCAGAGGGGCCGACGGCGCCAAATGGCAGCCTCGCCTCTGTCAGACCGCCCCAGGGTGGCTATGGCTACATAGTAGCTTACCATCACTGGCAGTGTGTGAATGTGCTATTGACCCTTTGCACCGACGTCACCTAATCACGTGGGTCCACCATGGTGGACGGCAAAAGCATGTAAACAGTGAGCGACACGATTACTAAACAAAGGGAAAAGTAGAGCCTGAAATTGTTTTTGCGATCAAAACAAAAACAAAACTCCTCCAGCATTCCTTCAACTAGTTCATGCCCAGTTCAGTCATCAGAGGAAGTAGCGCATCTAGCGGGGGGCTCATAGAGAGCGGTATGCTAACTAGCTTACCAACGTTGGCTTACGTTCTCTCTGCAGCTGTTCACCGATGTAAACATGTTGCTGACTTTGCCTAAATTTACCCCTCTGGATTATGTTGTAAACAGCGTTTCACTTTACACCAAAGCTGATTGTTAAAAAGTCCGGATCCCTACCAGCTTCTGTTGCTGGTGGTGCTACCGGGTTCAGCTGCTGCTCTCACACCGGAATGAGAAGATTGTTGGGTTATTTTTTAATAATACCAAGTCACCTGAAAAAGAAGTCCAACACACAGAGGATTAGAGCAATATTATTGTTCCGTTTTCTTTGCAAAGGGAGAAAGGTGAAGCAATGATCATACAGACCCGTACGCTTGGTTCACACAGTCTCGGCGAACATTCGTTCTCTGAGGGTTTTTATTAAAGCGCACACATCACATTCCTAAACTGCTAGGTAGAGGATCAGGTGAAAAGCTGTTTAACGTAGGGAGTAAAAACAGTGTCACAACTCCCTCATACAAAACCAGGTGCATTCAGTCAACATTCTATTTCTCATGGGAGTATAACTGATAACACAGAACAGCATGGTCTGAGGAAGGTCGTTGTCCTCCCTGTTGAGACGGGAAAGCTGACAAAGGCTAACACTTGCGTTTTAATGAAGCAACAGGTGTTTTACTTATAAGGCAGCCATGATTTTAAGCAGTAATGTCAACAAAAAACAAATTTTCCCTATCAAAGATCTCTGAACGCCGACGTTCATACAAATAAATAAATAACGTCATTTTAACACACGTAATCATACATCAGAGCTTTAATATTGTTAATAATTGTCTCGCTTTACACTACAGTGGACGGAGCGCAGCCTCCTTGGTGAAATACCCATCCATCAGGGTTATCAATAACTCGTATAAACGCATCACATGTATCCCTGTCCCTGTCTTCCTCCTGAAATAAATGAACGTTAATCTTACCCGGTAAAAACATGTTCGCTGCTAATCTGAGGCCTGCTAGTCCGCTTGATTGATCTCTGCAGTTCATCTCCATCCTCAGTCTCCATCAAAGTTATTAAAAAGAAAAAAACAAGTTGAGTTTACGTCCTTGTCTGTTAGTGCAGCCGACCACGCAGCAAGCTAAAAGCATTTTACTGTCAAATCAACTAAATAAAAGCGATAAAAGGCTACAAACTGGCTTGTTTTGACTAGCTTCACTGGAGTTTCTACGGGTGTAAACGGTCTTTTTGCCGTCCATCATGGCGAAGGGGGTGGTCTCATGAGTGGCGTGACATCACGTGCAAAGGGTCAATATAAGTTTGATGTATCATTATTAATATTAGTAACTCTAGATATCTGTGTCCTATAGGCGGTTCAGACGGCTCCCGCCTCTACGATGGTGTGTGGCGCTACAAGTCCAGTGTGAACGAATGGACTGAGGTGTCTCCCATGCTGAAGCCCCGTGAGTACCACAGCTCCTGTGTGCTGAAAGGCCAGCTGTATGTGGTTGCATCCGACAGCACCGAGCGCTACGACCAAGCTCTGGACTGCTGGGAGGCCTTACCAGCTATGCTGCATCCCATGGACAACTGCTCCACCACAGCGTGCAATGGCCGCCTGTACGCTATAGGCTGTCTTACTGGTGAAGACACAATGGTCATCCAGTCCTATGACAGTGACGTAAGCCGCTGGACCAGGGTGAGCTGTGGGCAGCTGCCTCCGTGGTCCTTCACTCCAAAAACAGTGACCCTGAATGGACTCATCTACTTTGTTAGGTGAGAAGTTTCCTTCCTGTCGGAGCTCGATTTTGACAAACGTTGTTATAATTTACTTTGGAAAATATCTGGATCCATCTCACTGGTTTCTTTAAATCTTTAAAGCAGTCTTAGCATAGAAACCCTGTTGTTGCTGTTGACTACATACAGCTTGGGATGTAGCATACGAAAAGTCCCTTGTAAACTAGGAATGTGGTAATGGCCACGAAGAAACGGTTCGCTCTGAGGAAAGCTGGCTCAACACACCTCCGTACGTGTTCCAACGCACTTCGCCGTCAGCAATATAAACGTTGGTCGTGGTGATGCCACAGTAGCTGCAGACGCCGCCCCGAACCGCCTCGTAGTCACTCATGACCAAAACCCTGATATTTAAACTCCTCCGTGTGGTGGTCTTCTCTGTTTATATTGGGTGGAACAGGAATAAAACTAGTTGTAGTTGTTGCTAAGTGGGTACCTGCATCGCCATGACATCACATGGAAGAAAAATACTGCCTTCACTCTGCAAAAGAAGCAACTATTCCTGATTATACCACAGCTATGCTATTGGTCCTACCTGCAGGTGTCCCTTTTGTAGTTTTCAGTCATATTTGTTCAGAAGCTTTACAGGGCGTCCACGGGTCCTTAAAAAGTCTTAAATTAGCTTTTCCAAATTTAAGGCCTTAAAAGTCCTTAAAAATGACAAATAATCCTTAAATTACCAAAGACCCAATAAAAATAAATCTTTTTTTCTATAAAAATTTCATGAATTTCTAGTTAGTGTTCACCATTTTTTGTGTGTGATGTTGCCGTAGGCGGAACCGTACACATTCAGTTGGTTGTGAAAGGGGACTATTTTTAGATGAGCCCGTTAGCTGGTTAAGCTAGTGGGAGCTTGCGCCTTGGAGAAGTTTAAGTTTAATGGTAACTGGGTGGCTAATCCCACGTTCGTGACGTGGTTAGCACCGGTTCCAGGCAATAGCTGGAAATTATAGCTTAAATTTAATTTTAAATAATTGCATAAATTTGGTCAAAGCTGCCTTAAAAAGTTCTTAAAAAGTCTTAAATTTGCCTCCTTTAAACCGGCAGATACTCTGCTTTAATGGTGAGAACTTTCAGTGTTGACCTTTGCAACGCCCCATCTCGGTATATATGTACTCCCACAGTTCTACTTGTTCACCAGTACACACAGTCCTATGTAGCACTTCCTTCCCACCAACTCTTTTCTGTGTTACTTTCTTTTTATTCTGGTTCTTGTAAAGCATCCCTCGCCCCTCAGCTTATTTATTTCATGCTATAGTACTGATAATTGTACAAGTAGTAAAGTGTATTCTAGTAAGGTGTTCAACAAGGCCTGCCGGTGAGAATGCTGGTTCTGCCAATCTTGGTGCCCCCGGTGCAGTTGGCTCCTTTGATGGCGTTTTCATCTTCTTTGTATCTACTGCATCTGCACTCAGCCAGCTGCCCTTTCTCTATTACGTGTGTGTGTGTGTGTGTGTGTGTGTGTGTGTGCGTGCGTGCGGGATTTTGCATCTGCTTGGGACGGGATTGAGGGTGGGAGGAGGGAGAAACAAAGGGATCTCTTATATGAATCTGTGTGGGAGGGGTGGGAAACCGACTGCTGTCTGGTTGTTTTTAATATTGTAAAGCGCTTTGAGCTGCATTTGCATGAAAAGCGCTTCAAGAATAAATTTTGATTGATTGATTGATTGATTGTAAAACTGCTAATGAGCAGAACACCTTCTAAATGGAATGCAGCCCTTATTAATGCAATTCCTCTTATTTCAAATCAAAACGCCCTCGGTGTAATAATCCATTGTTGGACCACACGAGGGCACCGATGTTTGTTGTTTTTCTACCAGGGTAGTTAAGATATTTGAAGACGTCACGTTCCACATGAGCTGCTCGTGTTTGTGTAGAGGTGTAGTTATGAGTGGAACACCTCAGAGTTTACCAGAAGCCACAGCAGTCGGTGGATGAGTACAGAGACATGTGAAGCAGTGAGCGTTCTGTCAGCAACGTGACCCCTGGCTCTTTCTATTTACAGGGATGACTCGGCTGAGGTGGATGTTTATAATCCTCAGAAGAACCAGTGGGACAAAATTAGCCCGATGACCCAGGTTAGTGTTTCACCTCAGCTGCTGTCATGTTTAATGTTACACAGTCAACAGAGTGTCGGTCATTCTTAGTGATGAAGAAATAAAAATGATGTCTTCTGCAAATGCAGCAACAACGATTCTGTTACATCACTCTGATTTAAAGAGGTCCTTCACTGTGAAACCATGTTTTACTGGTTCTAACGGGTCACTCTGAGATTTCCATGCAGGCTGAACATGAAAATCGTCTCCTGCTTTAGCTTCTGGTAGAAAACAGACGGTGCAACTGTAGGATTAGAAAAGCCTGACAGATCTACATCACACTGTCACTAACATTCATGGACTCACCCGTCTCGTCTCACAACGGGGAAGGCTGTTGTTGGTTTAGCGTCCACGAAGCGTTTCTGCTAGTAAAAGCTAACAGTTAGCATTAGCAACTCCACCACACAGCAGATTTCCTGCTCCTTGTGTTATTTTTGGAGATGAAACCTCAACGTTGCGGATCGGAGTCGGTAGAGTTGTGTTGCTGTTAGCCAATCAGAGGTGAGATGTCCCCAGCATTCATTCCCACTCGAGGCTACTGCAGCTGTATTACAGTTTTTCTCAAATGCTAAAACACAAAAGCCAATCCTCTAAACCAGATGACCAGTTGTCTAAACACATTTACTAAATCTAGCCATCATTTTCCAACGTCATAAACGCATTTCACATGAAGACACAGTTCACAAAACACAATCCTCCGTTCTCATAAATCTAAACACATTTTTCCTTGCTAAAACACAAGTTGCAAAAGAACTCTGCTCATAGGCCTAGTCCACACGTAGCCGGGGTTTTTTTTACAAACGAATATCCGCCCCTCCAAAAACTTGCATCCACACCACCTCGTTTTAAAATAAACTCTGTCCACACGTACCCGGATAAATACGTTGTTAAGGACATGCCAGACCTGTAGGCGGCAGTACTTCCCCCGTTCTTAACCTCGTCCTTCGTCTGTGGTCTTCCGCAAGGAGCAGTAATTCCGCTTGCAAAAACAAACAAGCAGAAAGCGCTTGGACAATTGATAAAGCGAGCGCAGCTCTGAGGGCATCCATGCTGTCGGCTAGTGTAAACACAGGTCGCACACGTGATGTCAGCATTTTTCTGTCGCGGAAAGTGACGTTGCGGACCTTAAAACTCCGGTTTTGTCCGTCCACACGCAGACACCCAAAACAGAGAAAACGCAGATCTTCACTTTGGCCGGAGTTTTTAAAAAGATCCGTTTTCGTGTGAAAAAAACTCAGTTTTCGTGTGGATGACAGGCCAAAACGTAGAAAAATATCTACGTTTTGGCAGATCCCCGGCTACGTGTGGACAGGGCCATATTCTCAAATGAAAGCTCATGTGATGCCAAATGCTTGCCACAGTCAGCACTAATTGAACACAATGAACACACCTGTCGTCATTCATTACACACAACGACTCAAAATTGAAGACACGTGTTGCTAATGCTGTGATCACATGAATGAAAGCAAGTTCAGAGTGCAGATTGCTGAAGATTCCAAACAAACACAATGGATGAAGGCAGAGTCGGGGGAAGATGAATTTGAGTCAGAGGAGGGAGAAGAGCTGGCCATGGAAGAAGAGGAGCAGGCCAACGAGGAAGAGGAGGAGGTCCAGAAGGGAGAGCAAGACAACCTCGCACCATCATTACGGAAGAGATGCGAGCAACAGTCATTGTCCATGGCATGACAATGGCTGAAGCAGGACTAATGGGCCATTCCCATCTGTACCTGGTCGGCCCTGCCCGGATAGCTCCAGTCGGCCCCAGCCTGGCCCGGTTGATTCCACACATCCTTGCTTAGGTATGCAAGGAATGCAGTCAGAGACATTTTCAACTTCTAGGTAATCAGCATGATAATGAATGATAATGAATTGAGCATGCCTTAAGTTTGGTTTATGCTTGACACGTCCGCGAGGTCCGCACGGCTCCGCGCGGAGAAGTTGCGTCATTTTGCGTCATTTTAACAACCACGCCCCTCCACCGCGCCTCCGCACGGCCCAGAATTTCCGCAACGTGCACCTCGGAAAATTTCTAACCACGCGGACGGACGGATGTGGAAAAATATGGCGGACCGGCAAGAACTAGTATGGCAGAGGTTGGTAAATACAGACATTTGTATGATTCAGCTCTCAGAGATCACCGTGATCAACATGTTGTTAATAATTCTTGGAGAGAAATAGCTCGCACTGTCGGAAAAGACGAGGACACTGTTAAAAATGCTGAAATGCCATGTTGTAAACAGTCATTTCTACTTCTACTATGGTGTAGTGTTGGATGCATACCGTAGAGCTCCATGCTGCCCCCTACAGTTTGGGAGAATATTGGCTCACCGCAGAGACGAGCCGCACGAACCATAAACGCTGCGAGTTGTGAAGCGCGTTCCATCCGCGAGCCGCATCACCGAGCGGAAAGTGAATGTGTCAAGCATAAACCAAGCTTTAAGCCCATGTGGGCTGATTCGACCCACCAATCAGAGGCTTGCTGTAATGGAAGGTGTGAATTTGCTGTCAGCAGTGGGTGTGTTGGCCCTGGTCGGCCTGAAGCAGACCCCCTCAGAAAGAGGGCTGAAAAACAGTCTTGTTGCACCCTGAAAAAAGACAGGCCACCAAGATATGTAAGCAAGCTATGCTATCCGGGCCGGGCCGACCAGGTACAGATAGGAATGGCCCATAAGAGTCCGTCCAAACCTGAGTAGGTTCATCGTGGCCACCATTATCAGGGCATTCAGACAACACAACAGGTATTGTACTCTATTGCTTTCTTTGTCACAATACAGTTTTACAAGCCTGTGAAAGTAGTATATTGGTTTCAAATCAGCTGTTATTGTAAAACATGTCGATTGACAACACATGTTTCTTTCTTTAGAGTTGAAAGAATGCCACATAGAGGTGGGAGGATTGCCTTATTTACAGCGGCAAAAGAAACCATCATTGTGGATATGGTTCGTGAGAACAACCTCATCAGACTCCGGGAGATCAGAGCCAAAGTCATTGGCGATAATGTCAACGTTGAGAGCATTGATGATGTCAGCTTGGCCACAATAGACAGAGTTCTCCGGCGCCAAAAGACGCGGATGAAACAGGTCTATAGGGTTCCCTCTGAGCGCAACTCTGCGCGACACCTACGTTACGAGTATGTGCAAGTAAGTATACATCCATGTTCACAGTACAGTTAGTGGATATACTGTGTTGCTCCGTGGCCTACATTAGTTCTGGACAATACTGTGCTACCTGACTGACTGTTGTTCTGAACACCTGTGCACTTTCACATTTTCACAGAGGATATTACAGTTGGACGCGATGGCCAGACTTCATGAGAACCTCTTCCTGAATGAGGCTGGCTTCAACCTGCAGAAACGAAGGCAAAGAGGCCGTAACATCATTGGCCAAAGAGCCATCACTGAGATTCCTGGCCAACGGGGGGGGTAATATTACTCTTTGTGCAGCCATGGGTTCGGAGGGGCTTGTCCACCGGCATGCTGTCGTTGGGTCTTACAACACCCAACATCTCCTCACCTTCCTAGAGGAGCTAAGACATCCTCCTGGACCTTCAACAACACCATCCTGGGCCCACACATCACATTTATGTGATCATTTGGGACGATGTCCACTTCCACGGAACAAACCAAATCAGAGAGCGGTTCTCCACCAACAGTAACCACTTTTTAAACGTCTGTCTGCCACCCTACTCCCCTTTCCTGAACCCTATAGAGGAGATCTTCTCATCGTGGAGATGGAAGGTTTATGACAGACAACCATACACTAGAGAGGACCTCCTAAGGGCAATGGAGCTGGCCTGTGGTGACATCCCAGTGGAGGCCTTACAAGGATGGATTCGCCATTCCAGGGTGTTTTTCCCACGGTGCCTGGCAAGAGACAATATAGCCTGCGATGTGGATGAGGTGATGTGGTCCGATGCAGCTCAGCGGCATGATGCCGCACAGTGATTGTGGTGTGTGTGTGTGTGTGTGTGTGTGTGTGTTGTGGTAAATAAAAAAAATTCACACCCTGCTCATGTTTTCAAGAGTACTGTTGTGTGCAATAGATTCTGTTTTTGCATTGAGTTGTGTTACAGTAGCAGAATTTTCTATAGATTTATACTCTTCATATGAAACTCACAAATCTAAATGCCTAATCCTCTGCAGAGATCGAAGAAGGTCCATAGCTGTAAAGTTTCTAAAAATGGGCAAATTGGCAGTTACAGTTGTGGTCAGAGGTTTACATATACTTGTAAAAAATATAATATAATGGCTCTACTGAGTGTCCCGTTATTTCTAAAACTGATTTTTCTCTGATAGAGTGATTGGAACAGATACTTCTTTGTCACAAAAAACATTCATGAAGTTTGGTTCTTTAATGTCTTTATTATGGGTTAACAGAGAAAAGTGATCACATTTGCTGGGTCACAAATATACATACAGCAGTGCTAATATTTGGTTACATGTCCCTTAGCCATTTTCACTTCAATTAGGTGCTTTTGGTAGCCATCCACAAGCTTCTGGTTGAATCTTTGACCACTCCTCTTGACAGAATTGGTGAAGTTCAGTTAAATTTGATGGCTTTCTGACATGGACTTGTTTCTTCAGCACTGTCCACATGTTTTCAATGGGGTTTAAGTCAGGACTTTGGGAAGGCCATTCTAAAACCCTTATTCTAGCCTGATTTAGCCATTCCTTTACCACTTTTGATGTGTGTTTGGGGTCATTGTCCTGTTGGAACACCCAACTGCGCCCAAGACCCAACCTTCGTGCTGATGATTTGAGGTTATGTTGAAGAATGTGAAGGTAATCCTCCTTCTTCATTATCCCATTTACTCTCTGTAAAGCACCAGTTCCACTGGCAGCAAAACAGCCCCACAGCATAATATTCCCACCACCATGCTTGACTGTAGGCATGGTGTTCTTGGGGTTAAAGGCCTCACCTTTTCTCCTCCAAACATATTGCTGGGCATTGTGGCCAAAAAGCTCGATTTTTGTTTCGTCTGACCACAGAACTTTCCTCCAGAAGGTCTTATCTTTGTCCATGTGATCAGCAGCAAACTTCAGTCGAGCCTTAAGGTGCCGCTTTTGGAGCAAGGGCTTCCTTCTTGCACAGCAGCCTCTCAGTCCATGGAGATGCAAAACACGTTTGACTGTGGACAATGACACCTGTGTTCCAGCAGCTTCTAATTCTTGGCAGATCTGCTTTTTGGTGATTCTTGGTTCACTCTTTACCCTCCTGACCAGTTTTCTCTCAGCAGCAGGTGATAGCTTGCGTTTTCTTCCTGATCTTGGCAGTGATGAAACAGTGCCATGCACCTTATACTTACAAACAATTGTTTGCACTGTTGCTCTTGGGACCTGCAGCTGCTTTGAAATGGCCCCAAGTGACTTTCCTGACTTGTTCAAGTCAATAATTCGCTTTTTCAGATCCATGCTGAGCTCCTTTGACTTTCCCATTGTAGCGTTTGTGGGCGTTTGTATCCAATGAGCCCTTTTTACCTGGCCTAAGAGAAGTCACCAGCTGTAGTCACTCATAATCACTCACAAGAAGTTAAGAGGCCATGCTATGAAGCTCAGTTCACTGACACGTTTCTAAGTCACCAAAATTGCTAGTTCATGTTGCTGTATGTATATTTGTGACCCAGCAAATGTGATCACTTTTCTCTGTTAACCCATAATAAAGACATTAAAGAACCAAACTTCATGAATGTTTTTTGTGACAAAGAAGTATCTGTTCCAATCACTCTATCAGAGAAAAATCAGAGTTTTAGAAATAACGGGACACTCAGTAGAGCCATTATATTATATTTTTTACAAGTGTATGTAAACCTCTGACCACAACTGTATGAAACAAAGAACCTTCTCACAAATTGAGCGTTGTGTTTTCTATTGTTTTGCTGTAGTGTGTAATGATGTGTGTAGTGTTTACAGTTTTGAAAGTTTGAGTTTTGAAGTGAGAAGGTGTGGTTGTGTTTACGTAGTTTTAGAAAGGGGTGTTGTGTTTAGACATTGGGGAACATGGAGGAAACATTAGTGAAATGTGTTTTAGCATTTGAGAAAAACTAAACCTGAGTGAAGGACCTCTTTAAAGTTAGACACTTTTTCAGAAACGTTTTATTTGAATTCTGTTTAGTTCTGTTTCGAGCTAAGGGCAGCACCATAGATGATGCACATTACAAAGTGGTTTATCGCTTTTTGGATGTTTTCCTCATTCTGTTCTCTTTAAAACGAACGTTTGTGTTCAGGTTCACGTTGGAGGGAGCGTGGCGGTCCTGGGGGGGAAGCTGTACGTGTCTGGTGGTTACGACAACACGTTTGAGCTGTCGGATGTAGTGGAGGCGTACGATCCGACCAGCCGTTCCTGGGCTTTAGCCGGACGCCTCCCTCAGCCGACCTTCTGGCACGGCAGCGTCAGCATCTTCCGACAGTTCATGCCTCTGGTGTCCAGCGTGTTTGAACCCACCAACGTACCGGAGTCCAACGCCGTCCACCTCCACCGGCACCAGCGCCACCAGGCGCTTAACAATCTGAACAATCTGAACCAGAACCAGGATGTAAACGCGGCACGCTGAGTCTGAGATTCAGACTTTTACTTTTTGTTCAGTTTACAGACGGCTTACCTCATTAAAGTTCAGAGAGGGAGAGAACGCCTCCTGCATGCTTCGTGATGATCACTTATGCTGGCGACAAATATTAGTGTTATTAAAAAGCAGATGTGTTGTGAGGGTGAATAAAGCAGGACACCCTGGACCACCTGACTAACAGCAGGGTCTTCAGTGACAGCCGTGAGAGGATCTAGCATCTCCACTGACGAGATCATCCACGCATCAGGACTAACTAGCTCTATTTTGATAGTATTGGTTTTGTGGGCCACGTGCAGTGAACCGTTTAGCGAGGATAGCTGTGAGTCTGAGCTCCGGGTCGCCGAGCTGTGGTGTGGTGACACCTGCAGGCTGGAGAGACGACGAGGTGGTCCACAGCAAGGCCCGACCCCCGGCTGACAGGATGACTGAAGGACTCATAAAGATCGATGATAAAGGGACGTTTTTGTTTTCTGCGGAAAAAGTCACGAGTAGTTATTTTACCTGAAAGCTCCCTGAGCAGCCCGTGTTTGGATTCGTTCCATATTTTAGTAGAAATGACTAATGCGGCGTTTAGGTGATCGTTCTGCTCACTTAACTCCTGGGCTGGTTTAGACTCATCGCTCCTCGTGGATGCCATTCCTGTTTCTCCCAAAAGAGGTCAACCAGGGAGCTGGCAACAGAGTAGGAATTCTTTATGACTTTTACACGAAAAACAAAACAAGTGACTGAGGGCTCTGTTTAACTTCCATTTCACCGAACAGGGCGTCTGCTCGTGGATAAATGTCCAGATTGTTATCTTCTAAGAGTGTAAATAATACTCAACGACTGAAAGTAAGGCTCTAGTTTTCAGCATGAGCTAAATGACCATGTTACCATCGGTCGGAGTTTTAATATCATTGAAGGTAAGCTAACCAAATGAAGATTTACTCTAAGGTTACGTCTTTAGGTTTAGTGTTTGCTGGTTTGGTTTGCACATCTGGTTCCAGAGGTTTCTTGCTGTTTGTCGACTCTTTTATCCCGTAGAGGAGACGCCATCGGCCTGGAGCCCAGCTGATCCAGGTGGAGACTCGTTAGCTCGTCTCTGATGGACGTCTGAACAGCTCCAGTCAGAAATCTGATCCGTCTGAGTTTGTTTTTATTTCGTGTGACGAGAATATTTGGTGTTTTATTTTAACCATCTTTGCTTTTCTAAAAGAAGTGATGTCACTTCACTTGAGTGTTGAATTATGGGTAATCATAAGGCTCCTGCTGGCATCATGTCTTCTAAAATCGTCTGATTGGTTTTCTTTGGATTTGTCTCGTTTAAGCTATTTAAACCGAAACAAGCCTCGTCCTGACCGTAATCCACAAAGACTAAAGATTAGGATTATCCGATTCTCTTTGTTTCCCCCTTTTTTGATGTTTTTATTTACCTAAATTAGCCTGACTCATTTTCAACTAGAGACAAAAGCAGGTGAAATGTTGTGTTTGAATGCTAACCCTGTGACAGGGTTAGCATTCGACCCCCGAGCCGGGTGAGACCGGTTCGGTTGGGTTGAAGTTCACCTTCAGGGGAAGGTAAAAGTGTGATTTTTCTTCAGATATTTAAATCACGTTGTTGAAACATCGAGAATCACACGGGTGGCCACACGAAACCTGAACAACAGAATGAAGTCGAGTCTCAAGACTTGAAGTAAAAAAAAAAGAACCAAAACTCACTAAACCACAGCTGAGTTTTGATGTAACCTCGACACAAATTTGTTTCCAACTGACACCAAAGTGATGTTTACATTCCTACGACGACGTTAAGTCACCAACAGACCTGCTTTAGTTCAGGAGGGGTTTGGATCCAGCAGGAGGTGAAGTGTGATGGCCTCCAGCCTGGATGTGCATGAAGAGTTGTCGTTTATTCACGAGTGTTTGACGCTTTCTGGGTTTATTTGAGAAAACTGTCGAGCTTGCCTCTTGTGGCTTTCTGCAGACGGAGGTAACAACTGGAAGTGTAACGGCCTTCAGACGCGTGTTTTTTCCTCATTGTTTAATGTAGCTTTGAGTTTGTGAAGGTTTTTATAAAGTAGTTTTGTAAATATACTTTATTCTTAACATGTGACTGTCTCTGTGGTTTTCTGTGTGTGTGTGTGTGTGTGTGTGTGTGTGTGTGTGTGTGTGTGTGTGTGTGTGTACCACAAGCTCCTTATCCCTCCATCTTCTGTAGCGATTATAATTATGAACTTTCACCAAAGCAAAACTCAGAAACCTTCAAACGACTAAGAAGAAGCAGCTGATGCTGTAAGTTTGGTGTTTTTTATTCCTTAGAAAAAACAAAACTTTGTTCTTTAACAAACGTTCACGTTTGAAGTTTCCCGTCTTTCATCTGGACGGAAACATTTCATAGAAACAAACGACTTAAAGGTGAACTCAAGGTGCTGTTGATCTTTCATATGAGCTTTAACCTAAAACAATGTTTTATCATAATCCCTGTGGGATTATTAAGGTGCTGTAAACGTCAGTCGGTTGTTTAATAACAGAAGCTAAGTGTCAGTTAAAAATGAGGGAAACTAAGATGATTTCTGCCATTTGCAGCAGCCTTTCATGCATGACAGCAGTTCCTGCTGCTTCTGTTTCATGTCCGTGTCATGCTCTTGTTAACATCACAGTCCTGAATGTAAGCATAGCTCATATGCAGCCATCAGATTCTTCAGGTTTTAGATGAATCCTCAACCCCGTCCATGTCCACCGTGGACTCGTATGTCTCACTGACCAGCTGGCTTCTCTGCAGCTCCTCCGTCTTGTCCTGCTCCAGGCTGTCCCGACTCACCTCATCATTCGTCGCCGCGTCCCCCGACTCGTTTAATACCCTTGCAAGAGGGGCGAGGCCGGTGGCTGAGTCACTCTGAGGGTCTGATGACCCTGGGACGACAGGCGACTCTGGGGAGTCATCGCCAACCTTCTGAGCGTCCACAGATTTAGTGACTTGGCTCTCGTCCGGGCTGTCGTCGACATTCTGTACGACGATGCTCCTCAGCTTCCTCTGCTGTGGTTTGTAGTTCTCGGTGCGCTTGTGGATGAGGCAGTGCCGTCGCAGGTGTGCCTGGAGGAGGTGGAGGAGGAGACGTTAGCGGGCTGGCTATAGACCTGTAAGCTTCAACAAAAGTTAACGCCCAGTTGTTTGAGAAGGGAGGGAGACCCCATTATTTCTCCTTCTGATCAGTCTTTTAAGGAAAAGTGGTAAAACTTGCTGAAATTGTGTAAAAAGTTGCATCACAAGTTAACACAGGAAGCGATGATGGGAAAACAGGATGTAAACAAACATTAAGCTGGAAACATGCATCAAAGCCAGGAGTATGTTCTAAAGATCCAACCACAGGAAGGTTCTGAAGAGTCGCAGGAAGAACATCTAAGGTGGTGCATACCATTTCTGACCCTTCAGATAACAGAGAGGGAGGGGTGGGGGCGTAACGGCCCTGAGCAGAGAGGGAGGGGTGGGGACGTAACGGCCCTGAGCAGAGAGGGAGGGGTGGGGACGTAACGGCCCTGAGCAGAGAGGGAGGTTTGGGGGTGTAACGGCCCTGAGCAGAGAGGGAGGGTTGGGGGTGTAACGGCCCTGAGCAGAGAGGGAGGTTTGGGGGTGTAACGGCCCTGAGCAGAGAGGGAGGGTTGGGGGCGTAACGGCCCTGAGCAGAGAGGGAGGGTTGGGGGCGTAACGGCCCTGAGCAGAGAGGGAGGGGCCGGGGCGTAACGGCCCTGAGCAGAGAGGGAGGTTTGGGGGTGTAACGGCCCTGAGCAGAGAGGGAGGGTTGGGGGCGTAACGGCCCTGAGCAGAGAGGGAGGTTTGGGGGTGTAACGGCCCTGAGCAGAGAGGGAGGGGCCGGGGCGTAACGGCCCTGAGCAGAGAGGGAGGGGTGGGGGCGTAACGGCCCTGAGCAGAGAGGGAGGGGTGGGGGCGTAACGGCCCTGAGCAGAGAGGGAGGTTTGGGGGCGTAACGGCCCTGAGCAGAGAGGGAGGGGTGGGGGCGTAACGGCCCTGAGCAGAGAGGGAGGGGTGGGGGCGTAACGGCCCTGAGCAGAGAGGGAGGGTTGGGGGCGTAACGGCCCTGAGCAGAGAGGGAGGGGTGGGGGCGTAACGGCCCTGAGCAGAGAGGGAGGGGTGGGGGCGTAACGGCCCTGAGCAGAGAGGGAGGTTTGGGGGCGTAACGGCCCTGAGCAGAGAGGGAGGGGTGGGGGCGTAACGGCCCTGAGCAGAGAGGGAGGGGTGGGGGCGTAACGGCCTTGAGCAGAGAGGGAGGGGTCGGGGCGTAACGGCCCTGAGCAGAGAGGGAGGGGCCGGGGCGTAATGGCCCTGAGCAGAGAGGGAGGGGTGGGGGCGTAACGGCCCTGAGCAGAGAGGGAGGTTTGGGGGCGTAACGGCCCTGAGCAGAGAGGGAGGGGTGGGGGTGTAACGGCCCTGAGCAGAGAGGGAGGTTTGGGGGCGTAACAGCCCTGAGCAGAGAGGGAGGGGTGGGGGCCGAACGGCCCTGAGCAGAGAGGGAGGGTTGGGGGTGTAATGGCCCTGAGAGTGTGCTTTCTACCAGTGGGAATCATTCAGGGCTGCACAGTGGTGCAGTGGTTAGAGCTGTCGCCTTGCAGCGAGAGGGTCCTGGGTTCGCTTCCCGGCCTGGGATCTTTCTGCATGGAGTTTGCATGTTCTCCCTGTGCATGCGTGGGTTCTCTCCGGGTACTCCGGCTTCCTCCCACGGTCCAAAAAACATGACTGTTAGGTTGGTCTGTCTAAATTGTCCTTAGGTGAGTGTGTGTGTGCGTGATTGTTTGTCCTGTGTGTCTCTGTGTTGCCCTGCGATGGACTGACTCTTTCCAGGGTCTACCCCGCCTGATTGCCCATTGACCGCTGGAGATAGGCACCAGCCCCCGCGACCCTACGTGGACTAGCAGGTTCAGAAAATGGATGGATGGATGGGAATCATTCAGCTTTCCCTAGTCTTGTCTAGTTTGTTATGCACCATCTTGGAGGTCACACGAGGTCTTTAGGGTGACACTACAAGAGGGACTTCAGGAGAACAACCTGTCGGGTAAACATGTAGCCACAGTCCCCACACTCAAACTTCCTCATGCCTTTGTGGCGCCGCAGGTGGACTCGTAGCTGCTCCTTGGCTGGAGAAGGGTTCAAAGAAGAAAAGATCAAAAGTTGTTATCATCTCTGTAACACTCCTGCTGCAGCTGGTGCTCGGGACGCTGTTTGGCACCTTTGAAAGTTTTGGTACAGACATAACAGCTGTGGGGTCGGCCCTCCTCGTGCCTGCTGGCCTTGTGGCGAAGGAGGGCTCCTTTCTCCGTGAAGCGCTGCTCACAGACGTCACAGCCGTAGGGGCGCTCCCCGGTGTGCGTCCGCTGGTGTTTATCCAGACTGCCTGGAGGACACAAACAACAGGGTCAACAGTAAAATGACACAGCTCAACCAACCCACCACTTCCTCGTCTGACTCTGTACCTTGTGTCCTGAAGGTTTTCCCACAGAGGTGACACTGATACGGCCTCTCGCCGCTGTGCACACGCAGGTGCAAGTTCAGGTTGTTTTTCTGGGAGAAGGCGTGGCCACATGTGGTACAAACGAAAGGCCGCTCGTTCCTGTGGAGCAGAACAAGAACGCGGGTCAAAGCAGGATTCAGACGGTGACCGGAGCAAACTGTTGATTAGTTTTGTTCTCACAGATTAAATCACCTTTTGTTTTTTTACAGATTTAGACAGAAAACAGCTAAAATTAGCCTTGATGATGTGATCACAATAATAAATCAAATTAATCTGTTAATTCTGATCAAAGCCACCAGAGTTTGTTTCTCATTAATTCAACATTCAGGGTCTGACAATCAAACGAGTTCTGGCAAGATGACTAAAAAGTAGTGATGCACCGATATGAAAATTTTTGGCCGATACCGATATTAAGATCACTGTTATGGCCGATAACCGATATTTGCCGGTATCGATCTACTGACATTAATGCTTCTAAAATCAGCAGATTTTGTATAGAATGAAAATTATTAAAGCTGAATTTACGTTATGTACACACACACGCATTTACGGTTCTGAGATGATTTCATTCACTGTTCACACGACTAATCAATGACACCCCACCCCCACCCCCCTCTGAAACAGGCAAACAAACGGAGACGAGATGGAAAAAATATCAATTGTTAACATCGGCCCGGTTTTATTTATCGAACCGATACCGATATGTTAAAAAATGACTAACATCGGCCGATACCGATGGAATTGTCCATCCCAACTAAAAAATAGGGAAATATAAAATTCAATTTTACACATTTGAGACCTTAAACCAGCGGCACTCAATAGGGTCTTTCTTTGTGAGCCACGTACCGCCGGTCTACTCCGAGCCCCTCCCGGATGACCGAGCTTCTCACCCTATCTCTAAGGGAGAGCCCAGCCACCCTGCGGAGAAAACTCATTTCGGCCGCTTGTATCCGCGATCTCGTTCTTTCGGTCACGACCCAAAGCTCGTGACCATAGGTGAGGGTAGGAACGTAGATCCACCAGTAAATTGAGAGCCTGGCTTTCCAGCTCAACTCTCTCTTCACCACGACAGACCGGTACAACGCCCGCATCACTGCAGATGCAGCACCAACTCGCCTATCGATCTCACGCTCCAGTGTTCCCTCACTCGTGAACAAGACCCCGAGATGCTTAAACTCCTCCACTTGAGGCAGGACCTCATCCCTGACCCGGAGAAGGCATTCTACCCTTTTCTGACTCATTAAAGTTTAATGACCTGTCAAGTGAAGTTTATTGGTTTCTATTTTCAATGTTTTTGAGAAAATATGCGTGCAGAAATATTTTACAATTAAAGTGTTTAAGCTGTAATCATCAGAGCACTCATTAGTAACTAGATTACTACACTTATTTTGAAAAGATGCTCAGAGTGTTTGTTACTTTTAACGATAATCCAGATGAACAAAATTCAAATATTCCTCATCCAGAAAGTCCTGCCTGATGCCCAGACCACCTGACATCTTCTCTCAGCTGAAGATCATCGCTCTCTGGGATCAGACTGCTGATCACATGATCCCAGGACTCAGCGGTGATGTGGAAAATATTCCTACCACATACCGGCAGACATCGACTCAAGTCCCATCACTAGCTGTGTCCTTGTTTAATGCTTCCTGGTACTTTTAAGGGCCGCTTGAAGATGTCAGGTCAGGTTTGATTTAAAGTTTTATTTTCATAAGTGACAAATAGGGATGCAATGACACCGCTTTTTCCCAAACCGATACGATACCGATACTTGGATCTGAATGCTCGCCGATCCCGATTGCCGATACCGATACTTCTACCACACAAAAAAATGCAATGATTTGGATTACAGATTTTATTTTCTTCTCTGCTTTCAACAGGAAAAGACTGTGAGGTAGATAAAAAGTTAAATATATGAATAGAAATGATCACAAAACTAAAATATTTGGTGAACAGAAATGACGAGTTACAGTGAAGCCATTTTCAAGCAGCTGCACTGGTGTCGGTTAACTTTTACTGATATCGATACCAGCATCAGTGCATCCCTAGTGACAAACGAACCTGTGAATGGCTTTGATGTGCATCTGAAGACCGTTTCTACTCGATGCTCGATGGCCACACTCCTCACACACAAACGGCTTTTCCCCTCGATGCTTGGCTGCTTCGTGCACGCGTAGCTCTGTCCGCGTCAGGAAGGTTTTAGGACACTGAGGACACTATTTGACAGGACTGCGAATAAGACACCTTTCCAGCCTTTAAACGGGGAGCACACGTCTGGGTACTCACTACATGTGGTTTGGGATGGCCGTGGACCTTCATCATGTGCGTCGTCAGCTTCTTCTTGTACATAAACTGCTCGTTACACATTAAGCACTAAGAGAAGAAGACAAAACTGTATTTGCAAGAACCCATTTGATCAGTCGTGTGGACTGGGAGGGACGTTCACCTGGTGTGGCATTTGTCCCGTGTGGGTTACGACATGCACCCGCAGCTCCTCCTTTGTGTTAAAGCTGGAGGAGCAGGTTGAGCAGGCGTACGTCTGGAATCACAGCAGCACAAACACTAAGTTCTCCCTGGAAAACAAGGGCAGACCCCCTCACTGATCTGTCGCCACTCACCAGCCCTCTACTGCAGTCTCTGCTCTCGTGGACGAGCAGATTCTCCTTTCTGAAGTACCTCTTCCCACACTTGAGGCACCCAAAGGGTTTCTCTCCTGTGTGCCGCCTGCGGGACACAAAACGTCAGTGGCTGCTCTCTCTCTACGGAGACCTCCGGGACACGGACGGACAAACTCTGTACCTGTTGTGGACCTTCAGGTAGTATTTGCTCTTGAAGGACTTGTTGCAGATGGGACACGCGACTGGGTCTTTGTCCTCTGCAGCAGCAGCGTTCTTATCATTTGTTTTATTCGGAGTCTTGCATTTCTGTGTCGCCGGCGTGGACGCAGAGGTGGGACTGCTCTCAGCAATGAGGAAATACTCCTCATCCGTGTCATCAGCTGCACCCTCCAGGTCACCTGCACCTTCATCCTCCTGCTCCTCTGCTGCTGGCTCACCTGGTGCCTGACGGACATCGGCCATCACCTCGGTTTCCTGCAAACAGAACGAGGTTAGGGCTGGGGAATTGAAAAAGGCTCAGCTGTTTCACCCGAGAGACACAGAAAGACAGGCGTGTACCGGCACAGACCTGACGATACGATACGAATCACCGTGCTGGGGAGACGATACGATACGAATCACTGTGCTGGGGAGACGATACGATACGAATCACCGTGCTGGGGAGACGATACGATATGAATCACCGTGCTGGGGAGACGATACGATACGAATCACCGTGCTGGGGAGACGATACGATACGAATCACTGTGCTGGGGAGACGATACGGCACGAATCACCGTGCTGGGGAGACGATACGATATGAATCACCGTGCTGGGGAGACGATACGATACGAATCACCGTGCTGGGGAGACGATACGATACGAATCACCGTGCTGGGGAGACGATACGATACGAATCACCGTGCTGGGGAGACGATACGATACGAATCACCGTGCTGGGGAGACGATACGATACGAATCACCGTGCTGGTGCTGGGGAGACGATACGGCACGAATCACCGTGCTGGGGAGACGATACGATATGAATCACCGTGCTGGGGAGACGATACGATACGAATCACCGTGCTGGGGAGACGATACGATACGAATCACCGTGCTGGGGAGACGATACGATACGAATCACCGTGCTGGGGAGACGATACGATACGAATCACCGTGCTGGGGAGACGATACGATACGAATCACCGTGCTGGGGAGACGATACGATACGAATCACCGTGCTGGGGAGACGATACGATACGAATCACCGTGCTGGGGAGACGATACGATACGAATCACCGTGCTGGGGAGACGATACGATACGAATCACCGTGCTGGGGAGAGGATACGATACGAATCACCGTGCTGGGGAGAGGATACGATACGAATCACCGTGCTGGGGAGAGGATACGATACGAATCACCGTGCTGGGGAGAGGATACGATACGAATCACCGTGCTGGGGAGACGATACGATACGAATCACCGTGCTGGGGAGACGATACGATACGAATCACCGTGCTGGGGAGACGATACGATACGAATCACCGTGCTGGGGAGACGATACGATACGAATCACCGTGCTGGAGAGACGATACGATACGAATCACCGTGCTGGGGAGACGATACGATACGAATCACCGTGCTGGGGAGACGATACGATACGAATCACCGTGCTGGGGAGACGATACGATACGAATCACCGTGCTGGGGAGACGATACGATATGAATCACCGTGCTGGGGAGACGATACGATACGAATCACCGTGCTGGGGAGACGATACGATTTAACGTGATGCTAAAATCCTTTTTTATGACTGGATTTGATTAGAAAACCCCAAGCCAGACACTTCCAAGGCACATCCCGTGCTATCGCTAGATCTCATTGTTCCATCAGAAAGGAAGAGGGTAAAAACTGCTGCCACCTAGCTGTGGGAGTTTGAACTGCACCACATAAAAAAACACAGTAAACGTTAGTCTGTAAATTCTTCATTAAAAACCAATACGCTGCTTTTAAATCTCGATTCAGGGTCATTACAGGAATGTGGCGAGTATCCGCTTATCGATGTTTTCCTACATCCCTAAGGCTGACTGCACATAGAAAGTTAACCTTGAACAAACCACTGCCGAGCTAAACTTCTACGTTATCTCAGAGAGAGTCTTAAACCATCGGGGTTAGAGAGGTCTGGTTGTTTACGTTTAAATCTCTGTGGCCTGCAGTGGTCTCCCACCTATTTTTGTATTGTTTTTATGCAGGTGGTTGTGATCTGACTCAGATTTGGCATTCGGCAACACAACGAGGCGCTACCTCCACGGGAAGGAACCCGGCACTCTCAGGCGTGGGTCTCACACCAGCGGTCACCAGCCACTTGGGGCCCTTCACCACTCGGCCTGAGCGTGTTGTGGTGATGAGAGCTGAACTGCTGGCTGTAGAATCAAAGCTGGACTCGTCTCCTGCAGCGGTGCTGGAGTTCTCCACCTTGACAAGGTCTGGTGGACACTTTCTGGGTCTGCCTCTTTTCTGTTTCGAAGGAGCTCGGTCCACGGAGGATCCCTGGAACTGCTGGCAGAGGACGAGAGCTTCGGGCACGCACAGACTAACCGCTGCTTGCTGCACCTTGTGCAGGTTGCCCGGCTCCAGCTTCAGCTCCCCAGTGTAGATGAAGCCCAGGAGCAGCTCCAGGCCGTCACTGGGACAACCCTGAAGGCAGAACTCGGTGCATGGTGTGCCACTTGCACTGGACTGCTCCAGGAGTTCACTGAAGCAGGCGAGGACGTTACGGTGGGCCGGGTAAAGTACTCCGTCTCCCAAATTCAGCACGGCATCACAGAACCTCCCTACTGCCCTCTGCTGGTCCAGGAAGGACAGGAGTCGCCGAGCGTGGCTGCTCTCTGCAGCCATCATCCCTCCTGCTGCCCAGCAGACTGAAAACAGAGAAACACGTGTTAGATTTATGTTTTACTGAAACTTGCACTGAACTCCGCTGCAAATAAATAAAACCTTTCTAAAAACTATCAGCTTGTCTGAAAAATGGTAAATATTACCAAATAATGCATTAATATTATTATTATTACCACTAGGCTTTCACTCTTACTGCAGCAAAAGTACGTGTGTTTGGATTAAAGGGTCAATGTGTGAAAACACATTTAAATTACCTTCATCTCTTCTACTAAACATCAGAAACAAAGTAGAAAACACCTTTTGTCTAATTAGGAATATCAATAAGGTGAAACATGTTTTAAACATAAATGTTTTTATGCTCCCGACTAAAAACGACTGAACTTTGTTATTTTTAAGCCGACTGATTATCTTTACCTATATTGTCAGCATTGTGAGAATAATTTATATTTACATATTCAGTCTAGTAGCGTATGTGATCTTCTTCGTAAGTCATCATCCACTGCATGTTTTTGTCTGATGAGTTGTTGCTTGCAGCCAAAGCATAAAAAAGTTATGTTCAGCATTTGTTTGGACGCGTTTTCTTGCTTTGGGGATGTCGGTCTGACTCAGACTAAGATTGAGATATCCTCTGCTACTTTAATCTATTTCTGTTTGTGTCTATTTGAATCTACTTACATAGAATCTCTTACAAAAACATCGTGTTTAAAGCATCATTCCTGTCGGAAGACTGTCTTAAACTGCTTGTCCACAAACAAAGTTCCCGAGAAAGCTATCTTCTATGTTTTATCTATTTCTAATGGTAGTTTCTATCCGTTGTTATAATCATAGTAATTAAAATCAGTGATATTTAGATTTTTTTAAAAGATCTTCTGCTGGTGTTTCATGACCCCACCGCTGGAAGTCATAATTAAATGAAAAGAAAATGGTCTGATCGTTAAAAGTAATGGACAGGTGAGGTATGATTCATTTCTTATTTGTTGTAGATCTTTGAACAACCTCAGCTTGAAGAAAAAGATTATTCAGGTGAAACAGACAAGCAAACTGGCTATTCACCACCTCGCCAGTTTTAAGTGTCTTAAAACAATTCAAATAAATAAATCATTGTCTTAGTTAGTCGTAGTTTGTGTAAACTCTATTTAACCAACTTTATGTTGCCATACATTTCTCTTCTGATGTTTATTTCTGCATAAGTATTATAGAATTCCAGCTAAGTGGTAGAATAATTAGCTCTGACACACAAAAGTCTGTAAAACAAATAAATTAAATTTATATAAACATGTATGTTTGCACCAGCTGTTTTGAAGTTGTTTTGAGACGGCAGGAACTAAACCCATTAAGACCAGACATTCGCATTTTTGTCTGATCAAGGCTGATCTCTGTTTCTCCAAGCTGAGGCTGATGAAAGAGCCTTCTCATCAAAGATTTGACATTAAAAAACGGAACTTGAGATAATCGGAAGGTCATTCAATTTTACGCCACAAAGACATTTTGTGCTTTTTGATGGACAGCCTTACACTTTCAGAGACAAAGTGTGAAGTGTTTTTACTCGTTTTAAACCAGGTTTTCCTCTTAAAGTAGTACTAGGGCTAAAAAATGAGAAACTTGTATTAAAATTAATTAGTAAAAGTGTCCTATTTGTATTATTCGGACAGATGAGGAAAACGTCTCAAATTACTGCAAACTACGCACCTCGACGTTTATTTCCTAGCACGTCGATTTAAAGACGCTCCCTTAGAAAGGTACGCCCCGCCAGCCAAGAAACGCACATCTGTGGGACGAAAAATATCCCCCGTTTATCGCTGCACTGCGCTGAATTGTGGTGTGAGACAAAAAAATCGAATAAAGTGGAAAAGCTTAGCTGCATCAGCCGTCTTTTCGTTTGTTGTAGGCCCCTAAAATAGCCAAAGGAACAGGATATGACGCTATTTACGTCAAACTCCGGGAAATCTTTTTGTTGACCAATTTTAAATTCCACTTTTCATAATCAAAATTAATATAAAATATTTGGTTTTACAACATAAATCTTATGGTATTTTATCTCGTGCTAAGCTTGTATGATCAACACTTTTGTTTAAAGATTATTCATAAACAGCACTCTTAAAAAGTTTATAGTTGACCATCTAGATTCGGCAGAAAGCGGTACATTGGATCAGTCCGCGGGTCGTCATCGCGTCTTGTTGCCTAACAACCAATCAAAACAACACGTTCCTCCGGACGATCCAATCTGGCACCAGCGCCTCGGTGTGTGTTACACACGCATTTAGCTTGCTAGCATTGCTTCACGAACACACGTCGAGTTAATTAAGCCTCTTGATTCGTGTGAGTGAATTATAAACGTAAAGTCAGATAAGTTCTTCTCTAAAGGTCCGAGTGAGTGTTTTACCCAAGTGGGGGTGAGTTTCGTTTTAAAAGCTATAGCAACATTAGCTATTAGCTAACTGGTTTCGGTAATAACAGCGTGCTAAATAAAAGAAATGGGATGCATATGCACAGCTTAATTTGGTTAAAAGCACAGAGTTCGTTACTATTTAACTGTGTTCAGATGAATTTTTATTTGAAGTTTTCGAACAAAGTGAAACAAGTTATGATCAACTTGCACATAATATAAAGAGTACCATGCCGTGTCTCTACAGGACCCCCCTCTGTGCTTTACCACACCCTCGCTCGTGCATCACAGGATCATGAAGGCAAACAAACACACACAGGTCAAAAGTAAGTCTCAGAAATGGAAAGATGTGAGAGGCAAACGGTGCAGGCCCCTCATCACCCCTTCAGACCTCAACTCCAGTCCCGTCGTGGTCAGAATGGTAAAGGAGCACCAGGTGGCTAAGAAGAAGAAAAGGCTGAAAAAGAAAGCCAAACCAGTCTCTGAGCCTAAACTAACCCCTCCCAAGTCTGAATGTAAGAAAACACACCCTCAGACGAATGGGAGCTCCTCGTTATCCCAGGATGCTGAGGCAGAAGACGTGCAGGACTGGAAGGAGTATTCCCAGTCGATCCTTAGGAATGGTATGGAGACTTCAGGTGATGTAGAGGACATTCGAATGAGTAGACTGGAGGGAGAGGCTCTCCATCACTGTGCACAGAGAGATGACCGACAGAACCACGCTGTGCTGGTCTTGCAGAAACATCAGGTATGCTTCAGAACACTTCAACTCCAACAAGCACAGTATCCTTTTCTAAACATCACATTTTCTTTGCAGACCCTTTGTTTTCGTGGGAAGTGCATTTTGACCTGTCTGTACGGTCGTGTTGAAGTCATGGGATTTACCATCGAAGAGGGTCAGAAGTCGTACCCGCTGTTTTCCCCGGCTTCACACTGTCCACTCACCATCAGAGCAATGGAGACCTCTCACGACGTCAGAGACCACAGAACAGACACTTCACTCATACTTCAAGAATATCTAACGCCAGGTGAACCGCGCTCTTGTTTTCACAATATTTGTACAATTAGGTCAAAGCATCCTCAAATGAACAAAAACACAGATGATGTCTCACCTGCACATCGATAATTTAATTAAAAGTGAGCCAAAATGTTATTTTCAGTTACTGAGTCAAGCATTAAGTCTTCTGCTGATCAAATGATCCCAGAATGAAATGTGAGCGCGTGTGTCCTGGAGCTGAAGCTAAGGATGGTTCTGCAGACTGCTGGGTCATGTCGGTGCATTATTCCAGAGTTTCTGTTTATTCTGGCCTTCACTGTCCAAACTAACCCACCATTGAAGTTCTAGAGTGATAGTTTCTTTGTTTGTGGGCAAACGTACATAATCAGCAGGGCTTCAGATGTGTTTCCCCTGACTTTAGACAGAATATGGTGAACTTGTTTTTATTGAAGATTTACTCGCCTAAGTCTGTGATGCTTGCATGCTGTTTGACCATCAACCTGTTGCAGCATCACGGAAGAAGTTACTGAAAAAGGTCACGTCAACGTCATCCATCATCCTGCTTGAGCCCATGGAGACGCCTCTGACCCGCTTCCTGTCCAGCTTTTCTCATCTCGGTGAACTGTTCAGCCCCCCAGCGGTGAGCGGGCTCACGTCTGGGCTGAGTTCCCCTTTCATTCGGTGCCCGCCTTCTGTCAGTTCACGTTACAGGGAAAGATTTTGTTTTCTGTGTGTTTGTAGAGTGAACTCATGTCAGCTGTTCTCGATACCCCGCTGAACGGTCTGGGCATGATTCCCCTGGCCAGCAACATCGAGGGTCTGAAAATATCCAGGAGCTGCAAAGAGACCCTGAACAGCGTGGTCAGCGCGTGCAGAGGTGAGGGCTTTCTCGTGAAAGGCTGCTCCTGCTGATCATAAATAACCTGCAGCTTAAAAATGGTTAATTATCACATCATTCATGTTCTCAGCTGAGTCTGAGCTATGGGTTTGACATCATAATGAATATTATTGATGAACAAATCACCTGGACCTGTTTTCCTCCCACAGGAGACATTGACGGCTGCGCTGTTGTTCTTGTATGTGGAACCAAGAACGTGGGCAAGTCAACATTCATCCGTAACCTCATCAACACGGCATTGAATCAGTAAGTGCTTCTAACGGCCACACACACAAATGCATCAATGTTTGGTGTTATTTTCATTAATGTTCGTCCTTCTTATTGAGATTAGTCTAAAACAAGCGTCACTAGATCCTGTCCTTGTGGGCCACAAGTCCCCTGCTCCACCTCGGTGGAACCAGAACTTTAGGTCAAGTGTGGTAGGAACGGCAGCCCTGCCAGGTCCAGAGTTGGTGACCGCCAGTGTTGGGAGTAACGCGGTACAAAAGTAATTAATTACTGTCATTACAGCATTGCTTTTTGCTGTAATGTAGTAATGTAAGGCATTACAGGGAAAGAAAATGGTAGTATTTACTCGGTACAGTTGTCAGTAACACGGTAATTACAACGTATTTTTAAACCCAGAATCAAGACGTGGGTTTCCTAAAAATTCAAAGCCTGAAAAAAGATCCAGTATCCACATATATGACGTCATTTATGGACTCAGCTTTGCGGGCGTTCTATGAGCAGAGAGGACGCAGCAGTGATGACTCAAATACTCCAGCTGCGTCCTGCGCACGGCCGCTGTTATAGTCACAAAATCACCAAAACAAAGTAATTCGTGTGCGATCGTTCATATCAGCTCATATACTCTGGTACTTCATGTACTTTTCAGCTGAGTTCATGATCTGTGCCCCGGTGATTTCAACTCATTGCTGCTGGAGCGCAGCGCAGATTAAGCTTTTTATTTATTTATTTGTTTATTTATTTATTTATTTGTGTTTGGTAGATCCCTTTGGCTGATTAGTTAGAAAGTAGGAAATCTAGGAAACAGTTTTTCTGGAAGACGGAGAAAACATGCAGCATGCAGGAAGGTTAGAGAGAGAAAGGGCCGGAAATTATTCAAATAAAATCAAGACAACAAAACAAAGTGCTTGAAAAGAAAAAAGTCGGTAGATTTTTCCCCAATACACATTTTTACCAGTGAAAAGCAATAATATATAAGCATTTAATATTCATACATGTGATAGAATCAGATCACCCCAGAAGTCAGTCCCACATCCAGGGCCGTATCAAGGCATTTGGGGACCAAGGCAAATACAGGCTTGGAGCCCCCACCACCTCACTCCCTGATCAGTTAATCTAAGATGGCAGCGTGCTGAGAGTACAGATTGTTGTTGTTTTTATTTAATAAACAATCATTTTAAAGCAAATCTGACTGTTTTTAACAGCAACCCTAGCTCAGACACCACATCACCTTCCACATATATGTCATGAGCTCACTGAGCGTCACATGACCAGATTCATGCTGAAGTTGTTTTGGTGAAAGTAACTTAAAGTAATGCAAAAGTAGTGTAATGCCTTACATTTTATAATCAGTAATATTGTAATGTAATGAGTTGCTTTAAAATGAGGGTAACAAGTAATAACTAATGCATTACAGTTTTGAAGTAACTTGCCCAACACTGGACTGACCGCTGATGTAAAAAAGAATGTTTGCGTTTTTGTCTCAGGTGTCATTCACTGAGAAACCGTGTAATACTTGTTATTTTTGAGTTACAGTTGGTAACTGAGCTGCATGTGGCTGCTGAACACAAAAAAGCGTCTTTGTCTGCCACCTCCTGCATTAGCACCCAGAATAATATAGAGGAGAAACAGTCTGGTCAGAAAAAGACGGTTCCATATGCCTCCCTCACGAGGGCGATGCAGCCTGGGTGGAGCTGAGCACGTCTCGGCTCGTAGAAGCTAACCGTTAGCCGCTCCCCGACACAGCGGAGCACGGCCAGGCCTTTATTTGTGGAGATAAGACATCAGTGCTGCATTTATTCCTAAGAAGAGTGAATTGAGTCAGCGGAGGAGTTGCGTTGCTGTTTGCCACTCAGAAGCGATATGTTTGCCTTTCGTGGATAGTTATGGAATTGTTTGTTAAAGCTTTTCTGAGACTGACAAAATGATCAAAATCTGCTGGAAATTTCCCCGTAGACGACCACGTTTACAGGGTATCTGCAGGTCCTTAAAAAGTCTTAAATTTGCTTTTCCAAATTTAAGGCCCTAAAAATCCTTAAAAATGACAAATAATCCTTAAATAGTTTCCAAAGGTCTTAAATTACCAAAGACCCAATAAACAAGATTCTTTTATTTCTATAAAATTTTCATGAATTTCTAGTTAGTTTGGCATTTTTTGTGTATGATATTGGCGTAAGCGGAACCGTACACATTCGGTTGGGGGGGCTATTTTTAGATGAGCAAGCTAGTGGGAGTTTGCGCCATGGGGAAGTGCAACATTAATGGTAACTGGATCGCTAATCCCACGCTCACTACGTGGCTAGCACCGGTTCTAGGTAATAGCTGGAAATTATAGCTTAAATTTAATTTTAAAAAATAGCTTAAATTTGGTCAAAGTGGCCTTAAAAAAGGTCTTAAAAAGTCTTAAATTTGGCTCCCTTAAACCTGCAGATACCCTGGTTAACAACCCCTCTCGTCGGTACTGATCTAAGTGTGACCGTTTTATCAAGGCTCGCTTTTTGGACCCCCTACGGGTGGCGTGTGGAGTTGATTGGAGAGCCTAGAGGAGGCGATTAGGTTGCACAGACGTGGTGGTGCACCATGTCCACGGTTGCAACAGGAGGTGGGAGCTGTGCTGAGCTGAAAGAGCCGACTGATGCTGCTTTCAGCTTCTTTTCTGCTTGTTGTCTGTAGCACTGCTGCTGTGGACTATTTGGAAGGAGACCTGGGTCAAACTGAATTCACCCCTGCCGGTTGCCTTTCTCTGTCCACAGTCACAGAGCCTCTTCTGGGTACGTATTTTATCTGTGTAGGGTTAGGGTTCGCCGACCTCTCTGCTGTGCTGGTTCAGTGACGCCAAACTGTCTTTCAGGTCCTCCGTTCACACACCAGAACACCCCAGAGCACATCATCTACTTCGGTCAGCCATCATGTGAGTCGGACATGGACCGCTACTTGGAGTCTCTGAAATCGTTGTTTCGTCAGCGCCCCCAGAGCAGAGAGATGCCCATCATCATCAACACCATGGGCTGGGTCAAAGGTCAGCTCAGCCTCCCACTAGGGCTGCACGATTTTAGGAAAACCCGCAATGTTCAATAACGATGATTAATATTGCGATGACGATATTACTTGTGATACATAAAAACTTAACTCGGGAACAAAAATATCAAAAACAAAGAATTTTAAAAAAATCATAAAAATGAGAAAAGCAAAAGATGTGAGGAAAGGGAAAAAGAAAAGGCAATCAGTGGATCCCGGGAAAAGCAGAATCAGCAGAAAGAGCAGAACAAAGCTAACTCGGGTGCTTGCTAACCGTCAAAATGAAGTGTTGGGGGCGGGCGTCTAACCTATGAGAACCCACCCAATTGGCCAAAGGGGTGAAGAGCTCTGTTTGATTTGTTAAAATAACACCGTGCTTCCGTCTGACTGACAGGATTAATTATGTGTAGCAAACATTTGAGCTGACCGTTCATTGTGATATGCATATTGCATATGCTGATATCGCGATAATGGGCTCGACACACGGGAGGCGACAAACGACCGCGATCAGCGAAATTTGTCGCCGTCGCTTTTATTACCTGACACGCGGGAGGCGATCAGCGGCAGCGGCAAAGCCGTCTACGCGTTCTGTTCCATGGCGAACTTTAAACTTCCGTTGTTTTGATTGGCTGTGTCAGGTTGGAGGGAATTAAGGTTATTTAAGCGGTTCAGAGTTAATAAAGTGGTAGATATGATGTTTCACAAGGTGCTGCTAGAGTTATGTGAAATCTTACTTCTGATTTTACTATAAAACATAATAATAACCAACTTCTCCTCCATGTTTGCTCGGAGGTGTACGGAGCATCCTGTCCGCTCATTGGTCAGTGAATGAAACCTCCGTTGATTGGTCCTCGTCCGAGCGACAGCGATGAAAAGTTGAAAATGTTTCAACTTTCTGGGATTGCGTCGCTGGGTCGCCTGTGCACGACACGTGCACGAGCGCAAAATTTCACACGCATGTTTTTCGCGTTTCGCTTGGTAGGAGGGAGACCCGCGATTATCGCTTTGTCGCGCACGTCTCATTGAAAATGAATGGAGGAGAGGCGATGTCGCCTCCCGTGTGTCGAGCCCATAACGATGTGTTTACGATATATTGTGCAGCCCTAGCCTCCACACAGTGACAATACAAATGTAGCGTCCAACAATGGTCAGTTTAGGTACAGCCTGACCTTTCACCAGCTATTCAACATGTGGTCAGAAAGGAGGCACAACATTGCTTGTGTTCCCTTTAAATGTGTCTGCTGCACACCAGCTGGGATTCATACTGTAGAAGTCTGAAAGATAAACAATAACTTTCTCTCCCAAGGTCTCATCTGTCTGCCTCCAGAAGACTCGAACTCCAGTTCGAATTAACTGCTACATTCAAGAATCATTCACTAAATCAATATGAACTCCTTCTATGACTTATAATCTAGATAATCATTAAATAAACATTTGTTTATTACTATTTATGATAATTATAGTACAATGAAATGCTTCATTAATCCGTGCACACTGAATGGATGTTATGTGTGTCTCATAGAACGTGCAATGTGTTCACCATGTTTTGACGACAAGGTCCTCACACCTGCTCCACACAATAACAAGTACGGCTAAGTTAAACCCTGACACATAGCTAATCTTTTACCCGGATCAGAGCCTCCATATCAAAGAGGGTGTGTTTCTGAGTTGCCTTGGTAACATCTCCAACCTGTCAGCCTCTGATTGGCTGTCCAAACCATAACAACTAAACTTTAAAACTAAAACATGCTGAGAGATTCGACAGTTCTAGAGAAAGCTTCAGACCGGCCATCTTTAGCAAAAGCTCTGCAACCATCAAAGATTTTGACACGTTGTCAAAACCATTTTTGTACCTGCAAAGCTGAGACAGCAAAACTAGTTCCTGCAGAACAAAGACGATATTACCACTCCTTAAGAGTTATTCCTGAGACGCACGCTGATTCCAACCTGTGCTGCCTGGTGACATCTTTTGGACCGGAGAAGTCGGTGCTTGCGGTCAATCTACCGGACCTGGGTGCCCCGAGGTCACCCGACCCCTCTGACCTCCGGATCCGTGACGAGGGTCATCAAAGGGTGAGGTAGAGCACAGAGAGATTGCGTCTGAATGTGCTTCTGAAGATAACAGCTTCATAGATTACCGCAGACCATCCAGAACTCAGCTTATTTTGATGAGGACGCTCTGACTGATATCGCATCCACACACAGGTTCCAGACATCGCCGTTAGCTCCATCCATTCACAGTAAAGAATAGTTAACCAATTAGTCGTGTTTTAAATTGTTTGTAAAATAAATTCTTACTGTTATGAACTTGACTCTTTCTGGTAACACGGAGTGTGGTTGATCACTGAAAAAGCAAAGAACCTAGAATCTTCTGATTAGTTGCAATAAAGACCTCGCAGGCTAATATTTTATATTTATATAGAATATTACATCTTCATGGTCATAACAGTTCAAATCCATCAGTTTGCCTCCGCTGCACAAAGGTGTGAAGAAGTTCAGACGTGTGTGTCCTCTCTGCAGGATTTGGACTCCAGTTGTTGGTGGACATAATCCGGTTCCTCCCAGTCACACACGTGGTCCAGCTCAGCCACGGCGGTACCACCCAGTGTCCCGCCCTGACTCCAGAGTATCTGAGGACTGCTCACGGCTATCAGACTCACCCGCCCTCTCAGACTGCGTTGGATGAGTTCACAGAGAGCCACTGCCCCCCCAGGACCTACTCTCACCTCAGCGTGCAGTCAGAGTTCCAGGGCGTTGCTCGCCAGGGGACAGCGTGAGTCCAAAATCACTTCCGTCGCCTCCTACTCAGAGCCCTTTGTGACTTTATGTCCTATGAATGAACTCAACAGGAGACACCAGCGCACCAATGAGCACAGAGAGCTGTCCCTACTGGCCTACCTGAGTCAGCTGCAGTCTCCTGATCCTGGTCCGGTCAGACCCCTCCACAGCCTGACCCCGTACCAGGTAGAGGAGAGTCCTGCTGTAGACGTTTGTTTTATTGTTAGACCTGGACAGACTCTGACGTCTAAACCCAAACTAACGGTTGTGTTGTTGAGCAGGTGCCTTACACAGCGGTGGCTTTAGGCGTGATCCACTGTGAGGTGGCGCCAACTCACGCGCTCTACGCTGCCAACGCCAGCCTGGTGGGACTTTGCTGCCTGGCAGAGAAAGTAGCCAGCAGGGGGGGTCCAGTCCTGCTGTCCCAGGCACCCGTTTGTCCCTGTGTGGGCTTTGGTGCGTGTCCTGTCTCGTCTGACTCAGTGCTGATCCGTGCATCACCAGTGTAGGATGTTAGAAAACCTAAACTCACCTTGTGAGTAGGAACCCTTAAAACCGCTCATTCAGTAAACCTCATGCTGCAGCTCAAACTGCTATGAATTCTGGAAAGTTCTTAACCCTGTCGGCTTTTACCCGACCCTCCAGATGGTGTGTGTGTGTGTGTGTGCACCAGGAATGTCTTCGTTTATTTAGCTGGTGCACACGGTATAGATGTTGTAGGATTTTAATGCAAACTTTTACTTCAGTTACTGTTTTTGAATTTTCGCCACTTTTCTTCATACCTGCTGCTTTTCGTGGTCTGGGTCAAAGGGCACCAGCTCCGCAGCTGGGACTCCAGGGTGGTCCCGCTCAAGACACCTTAAGCAGTTTCTGGCCCATAAATACTAGTAATGTGGCTACTTCAGGTTGACTTCCCATGTTTATCATATGCAGAAGTACATCCAGTCATGCTTTTATGAAGATTTCATTCAAATCCATCCCGGTTGATTAAATATTTAGTCCACAGACGAATGAACTCATAAAGAGCGAGGCGGGCACGGACCTTCTCAGCCTCCTTTCGGTGGTGGGTGATGAAGGAGCGGTGCTTCTCGTAGATTTGGTGACTTTCACCAGTTTTTTTCCTGGCTGCTACAAATAGATCCTTTCACGTACAAACAGATGCGGAAAGTTCAATAAATAAAAAAACAGGACCCGTTGTGAGTTGGTTTCTGTAACAGCAGCTGGGATGTTGGGATTCTTCATCAGAATCGTCCTGTTTCTCCTCCAGGTGTCCTTCGAGGTATCGACACAGCCCGAGGTCTGTACTTCCTGCTGACTCCCGTAGATCCCTCCACCCTTCGAAAGGTCAACTGCCTCCTGTTGGGGGCAATTTCATTGCCTTCGTGCATTCTCACATCCCAGGTCAGAGGTCGAACAGTGCTCCTTGCAAGGCTCCTCGTGCACGGATGTCTCTTTACTCATAGTGTACTTGTGTGTATTTCAGCCTGGCCTCGAAGGGGAGACGCCTTACGTTACTACAGACTACAGCTTTGACCTAAGCGGAGCTGGAAAAATACGAGTCTTTAAGGGACTGATGAGGCCCAGTCAGATGGGAACGCAGTAGCGCGGCCTCGACGTTTCTTCTCTGGACCGTGAATGTTCAGAACATTGTTGACTCTGCAGAGCGAGGGCTGCTTCTGTCTCTGCCCCAGGTGTTCCCGCTATGGACGTACCACCTGCTGAGAAAGACTTTAATATCCCATGAATGGAGATTACGCCATAACTTGTGTTTTTAATTGTTGTTTGACATCTCTTCTTTGGTGGTCGCATTCCAAAACTCAACCCCTGCCAGGTATTAAAAAGCAAACAAATAAATAAAAACACTTGTTTTGTGCTTCCTTCAGTTGCGTCTACGCAGTGCCCAAAACCGTGTACTAAGTTTTTATTATTGCAGTTGCCTGCCTCTGTTTTTACTACAGTGGTCTGCATAAACTCAAGGATGTTCTGGAATGTTCTGACCAGCATCAGGGTGAACTACAGAGGTCTGGAAGAAAAGCAACCAATACTACAAGGATTTTGTCCAGAAACCTGGACAGGCAGTAGCACTAGATTGTTCTCTGCAGGTTGGTCTAGCCACGGTCCATAGTAGCCTCATCAGGTCCACCAATGGCCTGAACAATTTTACATTGGGCCAATCAGTGCTGTTTGTAGAAAGGTGTTGGGCGGGCTTAGCATCAGAGCTATGATGGAGAAAAACAAAGATGGCACCAGCTCAGGAATAGCGCTAGCTTGAATCAGTTTATGATGACTTGGACCAGGGCCATTGAATTTTGGGCCTGGAGGGCCGCTATCCAGCATATCTTAGTTTCAACCCTGCTTCATCACACCTGATTTCAATCAGCAGGTGATTAACGGGCTTCTGCAGAGCCTGATGAGCGGCTGCACAGGTGATTCAACCACTGAATCAGGTGTGTTGGAGCAGAGAAACTACTAAAACGTGCTGGATACTGACCTACAAGGCCCGGAATGGAATAGCCCTGATTTAGACTTTGTCTTTTCTTTGAGACACGAGCAGATAGAGGTACCCAAGTCCTTTACTTAGAAAATGGATGTTTTTGCTTCTTCCTGAGTGGTGTATGGCAGACGGATTTCCGTAGCGATGGGTATGTCGGGTTGTTTGTTGCTGTTGTTGGTCCTAGCACTGTCCAACTGTCCAGTGTGTAGATTCCTCATCACGATCAAGCTCTGAATGGGTCCCTACCAGACCATATTTACATTAGCAGGACGGCTGGCCATGCAAACAAATGGTAAATGGCCTGTATTTGATATAGCGCCTTCTAGAGTCCTTGAACCCCCAAGGCGCTTTACAATTCACACACACGTTCACACCCTGGTGGTGATGAGCTATGATGTAGCCACAGCTGCCCTGGGGTGCACTAGAGGCAAGTCTGCTGTACACAGGCGCCACCGGTTCCTCTGAACACCACCATCAGGAAGGTGGGTTAGGTGTCTTGCCCAAGGACACAACGACAGCAACAGACTGAGCGGGGGTCGAACCTGCAACCTTCTGATCACGGGGCGAGCGCTTAACTCCTGTGTCACCGTCGCCCCAAGCATCCCATCTCTGTAAGTTACATGTATGCTAGTAATTGTACTCCACAAAACAGAGATGGGAATCGTGGCATCAACGAGTCGTCTCCATGTCGTGTTTTGCTTCAGTTCAGCAACCAAACCAGGTGATTTCAATCAGCACAGGGAAGGAACCGGGTTCAGCTGCTGGGCAGAACAAAGTCACAACATGGAGACGACTCGTTGATGCCACGATTCCCATCTCTGCCACAAACCATACAGATCTGTCAAAATTATCTAAACTTTATGAAAATCAACAATTCAATTCAAGTTAATTTATCTACACACCAAGTAGTGTTTCTATAGTTACATTGTGATTTCTTGGTAAATATTCTATTTGGTGAGAGATAAACTTTATTGTATTTATCCTAGTGGAGCTATAATTAAACGGGTAAACTAGTAGTAGCACATCCAACGTCAAATAGAGTAAAAAGTTATAATCAGGAGAGGTGGTTAGCAGCAGTGTGCTAGCAGATGGCCCCCTCCATGAGGCAGTGATGTCATTCCCTACGGCTCTGTTTCACTTGAGTAGGGTTCTGATTCAGGTCTCATTTCTAACTCAGACGGGTCACATTTTGTTAGTCTAAAGTCTAAATAGAACTGTAGACACATTATTGTGTGTGTGTGTGTGTGTGTGTGTGTGTGTGTGTGTGTGTGTGTGTGTGTGTGTGTGTGTGTGTGTGTGTGTGTGTGTGTGTGTGTGTGTGTGTGTGTGTGTGTGTGCGTGTGTGTGTGTGTGTGTGCGTGCGTGTGTGTGTGTGTGTGTGCGTGCATGCGCTCTGTCTTCTCCATCCCCAGTGAGTCGTGGAGGATGGCTGCTTATACTGAGCCAGGATCCTCTGGAGGTTTCTTCCTGTTAAAAGGGAGTTTTCCTCTCCACTGTCGCTGCATGCTTGCTTAGTATGAGGATTGCTGTATAGTCACTGACACTAGTCAGTGACTCGATGCAACCTGCTGGGTTCCTTATATAGGAAACATTATTTCTGATTGGCTTAATGAACTGTGAATTGGAATGTTTATTATGTGAAGTGCCTTGAGACGACTCTTGTCGTGATTTGGCGCTTTATAAATAAACTTGAATTGAATTGAATTGAATTAAAGCTACAGTGTGACTTCCGAGTTATTCAGTAGATTGTTGTCTCCAGTTTTCCATGGTGACCAGTGCAGGACCTACAACTGGTACAGGTTCTTCTTTTTGCCACAAGAGGGCAGCAGACATCCAGGCAGAACTGAACTGATGGAAAGTTTAAAGAGAAGAAAGCCTCAATAAAACCTGAACAGATGAACCAGAGTCCAGCAGAGACTCTGAGATCATGCAACAAAGAGCTGCTAGTGTGAGCGGTCTATTAAAACACCCCATCGGAGCCCTCCCTTTGTGTACTGTCCCTTTATCGAGGACGGAAGTGCACAGACAGCACGGACACACTTTGGCGCTGCCTTTTGTTTCCAGTCACATGTCCTCCATAGAGACCTCATGCAAACCAAATTAAAAGGTCTTTGTAGTGAAGAGGAGCCATTAGATCGGTCTGATTCAACACAGTGAATGCACACATGCATGCATTCATGTCATCATTTGAATTTAAACTCAAAAACCTTTGTTAGTCTCTAACCCTGATGAATAAATTGTACGATATTGGAGCTGAGCATTTGTGATTCTAGCATGAGAGCAGCTGTTGAGAGGATTTAAGGGCTGAACATGAAATATTAACTCTGCCAGCAGGACAAAAGCATACAACTTTCAGATGTTTCTGTACGATAAATGCCAGGTTGATAAAATTCAGTTAAATAAATCTGCCTGTTAAAGAGTTAATCCTGAATCCAACAGGATGTCTCAGACTTTCCTCCTGCTTTTCTGAGAGGTGACAACAAATACTTAAAATGTGATTTTTGTCCCAAATTATTAGAAAAAAAAAAACAGTTTTTGAAGTTTAGTTTGTGAGTTTTCTCCGAAGAGTGGCTGGGCTCTCCCTTAGAGATAGGGTGCAAAGCTCGGTCATCCGGGAGGGGCTCGGAGTAGACCCGCTGCTCCTCCACATCGAGAGGAGCCAGTTGAGGTGGCTCGGGCATCTGGTCAGGATGCCTCCTGGGCGCCTCCCTGGTGAGGTTTCCAGCCACGTCCAACTGGGAGGAGACCTAAAGGGAGACCCAGGACACGCTGGAGGGACCACGTCTCTTGGCTGGACAGGGAACGCCTTGGGATTCCTTGGAGGAGCTGGCCCGAGTGGCTGGGGAGAGGGAAGTCTGGGCCTCTGCTGCCCCCGTGACCCGACTCCGGATAAGCGGAGGAGAATGAATAGATGAATAGTTTGTGTTTATTCCGTTGAGGTTTCCCTCTTATCCTGGGTAAAACTTTCATTTAGTCCTGCAAACGTGTTTAGGATGATTTAGGATTTGGTAACCAACTCATAGCTTAATTTGCAAATATGAATTTGACCTGTTTGGGATTAGTAGGATGTTATAAACTCATTCATGATCTGCGCTGCTTTTCCTCAGCAGAGTCTCAGGGAGTTGGTGTCTGTCAGCCGTCATCGGGTAAGAAGAAGGGGACACCTGGACAGGTCACCAGCTCATCAGGGGGACTCGCAACGATTCACACACTCACCCAAGACTCTCCAGTCAACCCAACATGCCTGATTGTTTTGTTCTGTGGGAGGAGACTCGTATCTGGAGAAAACCCTGCATGCAGAAGACTGTAGCTGGGATTTGAACCTGCAACCTCACTGCAAGGCAACAACGCTACCAACTGCACAGCCAACCAGTTCAATGTTATCAACATAAAAAGCATTCATTTTGAAGAGATAATTTTCACTATTTAAACATTAAAAGCTCAAATGTTTTTTTTTACTTTAATTTTAAATGAAAATCAACATTTTCCTGAAAAGTGTGATAAGTGACCCGCACTTGTATAGCGCCTCTCAGAGTAAGGACTCCAAAGCGCTTTACACTACAGTGTATCATTCATCCATTCACACACACATTCACACACTCGTGGGGATGAGCTACGATGTAGCCACAGCTGCCCTGGGGCGCACTGACAGAGGCGAGGCTGCCGAGCACAGGCGCCACCGGTCCCTCCGACCACCACCAGCAGGCAACGTGGGTGAAGTGTCTTGCCCAAGGACACAACAGCAGAATTCTCTGTCCGGAGCCGGGACTGAACCTGCAACCTTCCGATTACTGGACAACCCGCTCAACCTGTTGAGCTAGCTGCCCCTAAAAAAGGACAAACTATCATGTACGGGAGCTCTAGTTCCACATGGTGTTTTTATAGTAGAACAGTAAAGAGCAACTTATTGGTAATAACCTATAATTCATTTCCTTTATAATTGAAGTGAAACACAGTGTAGAAGTTTTCATTTTAGCTGTTTTTTCTACTTTTATCCATCAAATGATGACATTTCACTACTTTTACCCACAAACCACTTTGAGATGGTAGGGAATCCAATGCTGCCTGAGGCAGTGATGGGTTTGTTTCTGCTTGTTGTTGCCAGCGTGCAGAAGCAACTTCCTAATGAGCCCTCGGAAGCTTATCTTTGGGTGGAACCCCTTGTTCTCCTTCACTTCCATCACACAGTGGAAACCGGCACTTGAACAGCTGCAGATAAGCTTCTAGAACCTTTCCTGCTCTTGTGACCAGAAGGTCCTGACTTGACCTTTCTCTGGAGAGCTTAACCCAGAGGTCTGCAGACATGTGTCTCCTCGGTCCTTCAGCGTCTCCGAGCAAAAGCACCACAGGCCTCGACGTCCACGTTTCCTCCTCACCAAAGGTCCGTGTCGTTTTCAGAGCAGAAATAAAACTAACCACCTGTTGAAAATAAGCGCTTTCTTGGCGATCATTGGTTAAATCCACGGCACAGACCAAATCAGATCAGAATATAACTTTTCTAGGCCCATAGACTTGTTCATTTTTGGGCAGGAGGGGACCGTCGGTCTGAAAGATGGGCATGACTTATTGTCTCCAGCTCAGCTCTCCAGAAACGTACGTGACGGAAGGGTTTGTTCATTATTCATAGTTTCCCAGTTGTGCTGGTCCAGTTCAGATCAGGTCAGTCAAACTAGCTGCTGGTACCAAAGTGCCCATAAAGGACCAACCCCTTCAGCTTTGGGAGGCATGATGAAGACCCTCAAGTATCATCACACTTTAGTCCAGCTCTCGTCAGAAAGCATCAATAAACAATCCCCCCACCAGCGTGTCACTCTTCCCTCCCGTTTGCCACAAATGTAAGTTCCTAACAACCAAATCACACCGAAGCATCATTAATGAAGTTCGTGTTAAGAGTGTGTGCATCCCATTCAGCATTAGAGCCATGGACGTAATTTTCAATTTAGAAGTGGGGGGGGGACACGGGGGGGGGGGGGGTCTTTACAGTATGCTCTAATGGGAAACAGGCTACAACACAAACGGTTGTTTTCCGCTTGGTCCTAGAGCTCAACCAGTGTCACTTTAATAAAGCGTAATATTGTTTTTGGATGGTAAAAAGTGCAGGGGTCAAAACTTGACTTTGGGAAAAGTGGGGGGGTTATGTCCCCCCTGCCCCCCCCAAAATTACGTCCATGATTAGAGCTCAATGGTTCCTTCAGACTCCTGGATTAACCAGGGTGGGTCTGCATCACCTGGTCTCAATTTAGAGATGATTAACGAAGCTTGTGTTGCATTCTGGGAAAATCCTGAGCGGTGAGAATATCAGGTTATGGGTAGTTTCGGAAATACTTTCTTCTTTAATCAGAACAAATAACAAGTGTGTGTGTGTGTGTGTGTGTGTGTGCTGAACTGGCTCTCTGGCGCCTCCAGCAGCAGTTGATTCGGTGAGAATGTGCAGCGAGTCTTTTGTGAGCTGCTAGTCTGAATGAATGGAGAGGGGGAGAAGAACCGACACCGCAGCGGGGCTCCGGACCGGACCGGCGCGTGAGCTCGTCTAGAGGAAGCCCCGGCTCAGAGCTGCGGCTTTAACAGGATTATTAACCCTAATCTAATCCCGGTCCCGCACCGCGTGTCTTTATGTTGTGAAGAACGAGAACGGAGCAGCAACAGGTTGAGTCCGACTGGCTTCCGTTCTTCTTTCTTTCCTACGGACGGATGCGTCTTCCCGCTCCGGTTCACACCCGGACGGAGACGGTCCTGCAGCCCGAGCCCGAGCCGTCCAGCCGGTGAGAGGAGAGGAGGAACGGCATCATGGTGACTGGCTGTTGTTAAACCTTCTAAACTGAAGCCGAGCTGCAGAGGGAGAAGGCGCGTCATTCCAGGAGGACTGCGTTCAGATGGTTCCAAACAAGTGGACCATGAATTCAGCTCTGCACAAATCGCCCCCAAGGAGCTGGCTTGGACTGAGACTGCGACTGAGTGAGTACAAACAGAACAACAATCACATCTCCGCTCTTTTTCACCCCCTTTTCCAGACCGCGGGCGCGTGGCGCGCTCGTGTGCGTTCAACAGGGGCGCTGCCAGGGATTTTCGGTCCCTTGAAATGTGATCGGGCTAATTGAGATTTTCTGTAACTAATTAATTTAAAGTTTAAATGTACACCCCCAGTCGGTCACTGGGGCTAGAAACGTTAACTTCTCTGTCTGGAGGCACCTTGAGGAGTCGGGAGGACCCTCGGGGCTCTCCCCCATGTCTGGGTTTGATGGGCTCTGTTGCTCCGGAACTGCACCGGTTCGAGTCACTGGAGAGACAAAGCACTCTGATCTTTTAGTCCTGCTCTTGGTGAAGAATCTGAAGAACAACATCCATGATGGATGGTCCCACATGTAAATCTCCAGCCAGTTCACCTTTGACTGCTGTGTTTCTCTACTCCTCTGAACTCTCCCATTCATCGTTTAAATCAGACGCGACTCCTCCAGCAGCAGCAGCAGCAGTGCTGTTTTATCCAGAAAGACTAGTTTGTAAAAAGTTGGGGCTAAAATGACGTTACATTTCCACTGTTCCTTTAAGGGAGAGGTGTCCTCAGGAGGAAGGCCAGAATCATGAAGTTAACATTCCCCACAGGTCACAAATGTGCTTTTATTTTATTTTTTTAAATGCAATCATTACGTAATGGTGAATATTTGTACATTCAAACTTTGTCCAAAATTAGCATATTAGTCATGATTGGAACATAAAAATGTGAACGTGTCTGCATCTACAGGAGCGACAAAATTCATAGAAATGACCCCCAAGCTGACTTTGGACATGTCTACTCTAAGGATTAAGAACCATCTGCTGCTTTTGATGCTAGCCATCCCATCTACATCTACATCTACGGTTGTCTTTTAAACTGTCTCTGGACGCTATTGGACACTTGAAGGACCAATTAAAGCAAAGAGGTTGACGTTTAGGGAACCTACTTCCGGACAACAGAATGAAAGAATGAAATGCAAGTCAACGGGGCTAAAAACACATTTTCTAATTCTGCTTGTTATGTACCGTGATTTCACATATGACGTCCGTGAATTTTAAAGACATTTTGATACCAAGAACGCACTTATTTTCGAATGGGGGGGAACTTTATTTTAGGTTTTGTGTGAAAATAAGTCCAGGACTACGAATGCGCTTAACTCATTCCCTGCCATTGACGACTAAAGTCGTAATTTTAAATCCAACCGTTCACTGCCAATGACTTTTTTTTTGTGTGTGTGTGGGCGTCGGAACGAGCCCCCGCACCGTGAGAACAAACATCCCAGCTCGAAAGCCGGTCTTCATCCGCTTACGTCACGTGACCGAGAAGCAGAAAATCGATGTGTTGGAAGATCGTTTATGGCCGCTGTCGTAAAAAAAAGTGGTGTGCGAACTGGAAAAGCTTCTGCCGATCACAATTCAACAACTGATTATGAAAGAACGGATAATGCTTGAACCGCACAGATTCTTCCTGATGTAAGAAGTGAGTCTCCGCTTTGTTTTGGTTGTTTTGGCGTTGACATCATCCTAGCGCGCAACGTTCTTAAGAAAACCATAAAACGGTGAGAAACGCCGGCAGCAAGGGGCTTTAGCGATCAGGAAATGGCTGGCAGTGAATGAGTTAATGAAAGTCACGTCATCAAACCAGACATGGAGAAAAACAGAGAAAATGATGTAAGTTCAGCGAACTTCTAATCCTTCTTTCAGGAGCGAAGAACCACCATAAATCTGGCTGTTTGGTAAGTAGCAGCTACGCTAGGGGAGAGGAGATTATGTGGTGACGTGCCAATTTCTGATTTGTAGTCGTTCTAATTACGAACTTTTACAAGCTGATAAATCTCAAAGCACGTGACGACATGGTCCAAACACCCATGGTTAGTTTTCATTTAAAATTTAAGTTCAACATCCAGGGCTTAAAGTTGAGCAGATTAGAAAAAAAAACCTCTTAGTGCCGTTGACTTGCATTCATTTTTTCATTCTTCTGGTGACCCATGAGCCGACCAGAAAGGGAGGAGCCTTAGGCTTCAGTGGCGTGTCCAGATCTTCTAAAATGGGGTGGCCCAGATTAGGGCTGCTCAATTAATCGAATTTTAATCACGATTACGATCTGAGTTTTGAACGATTATAAAAAACAAAACAAGCCGATTATTTGCTCCTCCCGCCTGCGCTGCGCCAAGTTGCAAATGAAGCGCTCCTCCCACAGTGTTGCCAACTTTGTGACTTTGACGCTATTTCTAGCAGCTTCTCAGACCCCCTTCTTGACTTTTTAACTTAAAAGTACCTAGCGAACACCTCAGAAACATCTCTGGTAACCCTTAGCTACTTTCTGGATAACTGTCGTCGACATTTCCTGCAGGTTAGCTAAACACTCCGCCTGCTCTCCGGACCGTTCTTCAGGACATTAGGAAAGGGAATGATGCAGTGATGTGTCGGTCGCTAAAGACAGCTCTCGGAGCCGGCTCCCTGTTGGATTAACCAGAGTGAGTGACACACACACCGCACCTGCGGACTCCTGAGCCACTAAAATGGCTAAATGTGCGCGTGCAGCGTGCTAAACACACGAGCAGCTTGCCCTGATTGCTGTGAGACCGGGTTGGGGGGTGGGGGGTGCAGCTGTGGTTGGGACAATTATTACATTAATTGATGGACTTGTAAATAAATAGTTTATAAATAAGGTAGAAATAAGTTCCTCACGCTAATAAATAATAACTAATCTCTCTGAGGACACGGTGCTAGTGCACTCTCCAGCAGCACATTGACACGACTAAATACGTATTATGCAACATTTTGTGAACATCAATTTATTTGCATGTATTTGTTATAAATGCCACTGTATAATTCTTGCTGTCAGTATTTGCAAGATATTGGTATTTGGGTCTGTACTGTTAGACTTAAATGAGTTAAACCAAGGTCTATAGACCTTGGGTCATAAACTATGAGCTATAAGTATATTGGTCTTTTTATACTGGGAATCAGGAGTTATTTTAGTGATCATCTTGTTTCTTATTTTTGTCCTGATTGTGCCCTGAGCAATTTTATGACTGAATAAAAACAAATAAAATCAACATAAATTGAAAAATCGTCGTAAATAATCGTGATCTCAATTTCAGTCACCATAATCGTGATTATTATTTTTGCCATAATCGAGCAGCCCTAGCCCAGATGAGGCACTACTTTGTGCATGGGTGACACCAATGGTTTGCTTTATTTTTTTACCCCAAGCCTTTTGTGGACAATGAAAATACTATTTAAATGGAATTCAGTGTGGTGACACATGGGGTGGCCATTCAGATTCCAAGGGTGGCATGTGCCACCCCAGGCCACTCCCTGGACACGCCCCTGTTAGGCTTGCAATCCCAATACTCGCACTTCCACCCTTGCGCCCTTCAATTACGCAATCCCGACCAGGGGTGCGAGAATGTACTAGGGTGCCCCTATTCTGAAATGCAGAATTTAATCACGCCTCTTTTGCAATCTTGATGCGCGCTTCTATCGCGTCATACCCGTGTCAAAACCCGTGCACGCGCATTGGGTCCACAGCGCGCGTGTGAACGGGACTCGCGAGCGAAAATATACATGGCAGCGCGCGTGTGAACGGGACTCGCGAGCGGAAATATACATGGCGAGAGGTCATTTGTGCACTGAGAGGGAGCAAACTGTGTCTGTGAGCGCACAAGGATGTGCACAAGTGACAAACCTGCGTGCGCGCGTTGTCAACGAGCACACGGCAGAGGAAAACGTGCGCGCGCGGCAGCCTCTGTGCGCGCTCGGCAGCCTCTCTGCGCGCTCGGTTTCTGACTCCTGCTCGCTCGGCTGTAAGGGTTTTGGCACTCTGGAGGCGTGGCCTGTGGCAGATCTTCTCTGTCCTCTGATTGGTTAGTGTACCCCGCACTTTACCCTCTACCTATCTATACAAAAAAGTCTGCTATTCAAGCAGTTGCTGGCATAGCTCAGTTGGGAGAGCGGGTGACTCTCGCCCCGGAGGATCTGGGTTCGAGGCCAGGCAAGGAAAATGCAGTAGATGTCATGTTAATTTTTCTTAATTTCAGGTATTTTACAGTTGTGACCGTTCAACTGTCATTAAACGTCCGAATGTTTGCTGGGCAGTGTTTTAAAAAGTGCACATAAGCTAGATGGTTTTAACCATAGAAAATTACATTTTTTGTGATACTGGAAAAATACATACTGAAATAAAACTACTGATTGAAAACTTTATGACTGTGGTTGTACAATATATGACTCACTAATACACTGCAAACTCCCTTAGAGTGGGGCTTCCAGAGAGAGAGAGAGAGAGAGAGACAGAGAGAGAAAAGTTCTTGCCTCATTAATGAATTGTTTATTTTTTTCAGTATTTAATTGACAAATTATCCTTTCAAATAATTAATTGATGAGTTACATAATTGTCCATTTAGAATTGTTGAATGGACTGAGTCAAGTTTGGTGCACTTTATATATTTCAAAACATGTTTTTTTTAATGATGCATATAAATAATTTAAATGTTAATTTAATGAAATATTTCTATTTTTTCATTACCTCACCCTTGTTTTGACAAAAACGGGACCTTGCTGGATAATATCATGGAGAAACTATTTGTTCACAGTACATGGCTCAGTGAGGATCTGTGTACCAAAGGAGGAGATACTCAGAAATCTGTCTGCAGATTGTTACAACCCAGACTGGAAGTGGTGGGCTGTAATAAGAAAGGAGACCAAACAGAGCAGTGGGGGTTCAACAACTGATTTATTTAACAAAAGTAAGGATTTACTAAAGCAAGTTAGTGAACAGAAAATGGCCAGTGAGGACTCTCCACCACACAGGAGAGACCCAGTGAAAGCAGAAAAACAGTAGGCTTTGTAGGCAGCACCACACCCTGAGCCCAGGTGCCTCCAAGGCTGCTTAACCAGCTGCCTACAACAGAAGAAAAACACAATTAAACACAAATGAAAACCCAATGAGACGGTGGGGGCATCACAACACGTTCAGGACTACCCAAACACCAGTAAATCTTGACTGCACTGATCTGAGGTGTCAATGGCCATATTCCCCTCTCTTCCAGAGTCATATATTTTCCTCAAGTTCAACTGCACTCTGAAGAGGCTCATTTGGATTGTGCCACATAGGCCAGTGACCTTTGTCTCAGCACTGTATGCTGGAACTATCAGCGACCAACCTGGGAATCTGGTGTGATGAAAATGCTACAACTAGAGATGGTCATCTTGGTAGACAGGGGTTTCTTCATTGATGACATTGTGCCCTGCAAAGTGTACAGGCCAGCTTTCCTTTCTGGCAAACCTCAAATGTCTGCATGTAAAGTTATAGAAACAGAAGCCATAACATCTCTGAGTGCATGTGGAGCGCTCCATTCATCTGGTCCAAGAACACAAGCATTTTGATTGTTATTCCCCTCCTTGCATTTGTAAACAATCAGCTATATGCTGTGGTTTTTCTCCTTACCAACTTTTAAAATAGCCCACTAGTGAAGGCCTGGGCAAAGAAGCCTGATGTCTGAGAACCTCAACATATGTACGGCAACCATACTGTATATTTACACACTTTCATAAAGAAGCTGCATATCAAGCTTTCATTCAGATGACCTTCAACAGTGCTGCACCCTGCTGAGGGACATCCGAGTAAAACCTTGAGATGGCCATTTTCTGTTCACTAACTTGCTTTAGTAAATCCTTACTTTTGTTAAATAAATCAGTTGTTGAACCCCCACTGCTCTGTTTGGTCTCCTTTCTTATTACAGCCCGCCACTTCCAGTCTGGGTTGTAACAATCTGCAGACAGATTTCTGAGTATCTCCTCCTTTGGTACACAGATCCTTACGGAGCCATGTACTGTGAACAAATAGTTTCTCCATGATATTATCCAGCAAGGTCCCGTTTTTGTCAAAACAAGGGTGAGGTAATGAAAAAATAGAAATATTTCATTAAATTAACATTTAAATTATTTATATGCATCATTAAAAAAAACATGTTTTGAAATATATAAAGTGCACCAAACTTGACTCAGTCCATTCAACAATTCTAAATGGACAATTATGTAACTCATCAATTAATTATTTGAAAGGATAATTTGTCAATTAAATACTGAAAAAAATAAACAATTCATTAATGAGGCAAGAACTTTTCTCTCTCTGTCTCTCTCTCTCTCTCTCTCTCTCTGGAAGCCCCACTCTAAGGGAGTTTGCAGTGTATTAGTGAGTCATATATTGTACAACCACAGTCATAAAGTTTTCAATCAGTAGTTTTATTTCAGTATGTATTTTTCCAGTATCACAAAAAATGTAATTTTCTATGGTTAAAACCATCTAGCTTATGTGCACTTTTTAAAACACTGCCCAGCAAACATTCGGACGTTTAATGACAGTTGAACGGTCACAACTGTAAAATACCTGAAATTAAGAAAAATTAACATGACATCTACTGCATTTTCCTTGCCCGGCCTCGAACCCGGATCCTCCGGGGCGAGAGTCACCCGCTCTCCCAACTGAGCTATGCCAGCAACTGCTTGAATAGCAGACTTTTTTGTATAGATAGGTAGAGGGTAAAGTGCGGGGTACACTAACCAATCAGAGGACAGAGAAGATCTGCCACAGGCCACGCCTCCAGAGTGCCAAAACCCTTACAGCCGAGCGAGCAGGAGTCAGAAACCGAGCGCGCAGAGAGGCTGCCGAGCGCGCACAGAGGCTGCCGCGCGCGCACGTTTTCCTCTGCCGTGTGCTCGTTGACAACGCGCGCACGCAGGTTTGTCACTTGTGCACAACCTTGTGCGCTCACAGACACAGTTTGCTCCCTCTCAGTGCACAAATGACCTCTCGCCATGTATATTTCCGCTCGCGAGTCCCGTTCACACGCGCGCTGTGGACCCAATGCGCGTGCACGGGTTGTGGCACGCTTTAAACGCCATACGCTTCACCCAAGTCTGCATCGATGTTGATTTGGGTGAAGTGTGTTATCTAAATTCAATTTCTGCAGGAGAAAAGGATCAAGTTCCTTTTCTGAAAATATGTATTTTCTAATGAAATTAGTTTGTTTTAGGATGATTAGTTGATGCTCTGAATGTTTTAGACAAAGCAACAATGAATTAAAATTTATTTGAAATAGCTGGTTGTTTGAAAGTTGTTGATAAAGGCCTTTGAAAAAAGTATCACAGCGACCAGCATGCATTGTGATCGATGATGCAATGCTCCCTGTCTTAATTCAGCAGTCATCTACACACTCGTGTACTCAAAGCCTTTCTGTGCACTTTCTCCAAGTGCACTTGGCAAGTATTGAGATTGGGCCTATGTCTCCTCCCCTATAGGGAGCCTAACCCCAAATTCCACTACCTCCGCTCCGCTCCGGCACGAACGCCGGAGCAAAATCGGTCCCGTTGTAGTCATTCAGAGCTGTTCCACTACTGCGGCAGTGCGGCACAGTGCTCCGCCCTCTGTTCCGGCGTCCGGCAAAAATAGAATCGATCCTATTTTTGC